TAGTTCTAAAGTGAGGTGAATGATGTGAATAAATGGCAGAAGAGTAGTTCCTCTTACAAAAGGGTTTTTAGACCCTTAGTCTTTAGTCGATATACTATTTAGTATTTAGTCGACCCTTAGTTTTTAGTCGATATACTGTAGAGCCATATCACACTGCTGCTCGTGTGATATTGCTCATATATTTATTTACTCACACACATGCTTATTAATACATTTTAATACGTTTTAGATTATTTATTGTATTCAAATTTGTTTTGGTAACTTAACTTTAGTAACCTCTCAGAAATAGAGGTGACTTTTGTACCTAAAAGGTACACTTTTGTATTTAAAAAGTCCCCCCGATACATAATGGTACCACAAGGTACACTTTTGTACTTTTTAGGCACTAATATGTACCTTGAAGTTGCAAATGTGGCCTTTAAATGTACCAAAATGTACCTTTTAAAAATGTACCACACCAGTGACCTTTTATTTGTGGCTTTATTTCTAAAAGTGTACCAATTTGGTACCAAAAGTACCAATTCTCACTACTAACTAGTGTCTTATTACCTGCCTATTATTTAGATATCAAGTGTTTATTTGTACTAATAAAGTACATTGTCTACATGATCTACATCCCTAATCATACACAATACCTAAACCGAACTACTACCTTCATCATTTTTAATATACAGCAAATTAAGAGTTCTTTGAGGCAAAAGTCAAAATTAATGGTTTATTAGCACCCAAAGCTGTGCCTTAAAATGAAGTGTGAACGTTTAGTTTAATCTAATTTTACGTATTTATTTTAATACAAGTTTGAAATTAAATTTTATTTTCTATTCATTTATTGTATTTAATTAAATCAATCATATTTTATAATTACGTTTCAGTAATAAAAATCAATTATTTCAATCTCTATATAGATCAGGCTAGGTATTTTTGAATTTACACCACGCAAAATAATAATAAGATGTATATTCTATCCTTAAAACATGTTAAACATTCTAAAAATATAAACTTTATATTCAATCTTTTAACATTGCATATTTAATATATTGTGTAATAACAAAAATTATGATTACACCAATGAACTACACATTTTCCAGTACTGCTTATTGCTGCAGCAGTGCTGGGTTAACACTCAAACAAAGCCTTGTGTAAGAGCACGAGAATTCAGGCCCCTGTAAAATCTTTGGTTTAGTGTGAGCTATTCAGCATGACGGTTGAGAGGCCCTTTACAGGCTGAAGCGCAGAGGCCCCTCCAGGTGAATTAAACTAGGTGTCTGTGTGTGAGATTGAGTATGTGTAACATTCCTAATTGTCTGAGCACAAAGAGACTTTGGACTGAACATTGAGAGTGAGCTACAACATATTATTAGCATGAAGTCTTTGCACACAAATCGGCCTTTGACTGAGCGCAAACACACAGTGAGCTCAGAGCGAGAGTGTTACTGACTCGTGCAATAACAGGTTTTGACGTGGCATACGTGCATGTGCTCACCTGCGAGGGATCAGTGCCAAACGCATGTAATCGCTCATACACCTGCCTGTACTGTAGCCGCGCACTCACACTGCCGTAACTGAATCAGCCTCCGGCAAGAGTTTTGTAGATTATAAGCTGCGATGCAACCTGGTGAAAATACAATGAAATATTATGACAAGACACACGCAATATGAACATACTGGTGAAAGAAAAGCAAAAACATACTGCACTGTAAATTAAACTGACAGCCTAATAAATTTGTACTGCACACTTTGTATGCAGTACTTGGGTATTATATTTTAGCTGTTTTTTATGTTCTAATAAAGTTTTGCTCTGCAACATATAGGATAACTGACCACTTGGGAGCCTTTCATCTCTTGCAATACATCTTGTTTATTTTGCTGGTGTACATTATTGGTCTTTAAGTGAACAATAAATCTGTGCAAGTTGATTCACTGAATAAAAAAGTTTGTTTTGATAATCTTTAATCAAAGTCTGACCATTTGCTTCCGAGTTTGGAGTTGTGGTCCTTCTTTGTTGACGTTTGTTTGATGGCATCAGCCACAGTATTCTTATGTGCAAATGATGTGCAAAAGAAAGCCCCAACCCTACTCCATATAACTTTCAGGAAGTACATCAACATACTAAAATAAGTCTCTGTAACTTCTAGTTTTTCAATCAAAGTCTGACCATTTGCTTTCACCTGGTTCCACAATTGTTTTTTTTTCTGTTGATGTTAACCTGAGGGCTTCCAACTCTATACATCTCGCTAACACTTTATTTTGATGGTCATTATTGCACATTTTGTTGACTAAAAGTTGCATTGCAACTAACTACATACCAATTACTTCTCATTTGAGTATTAGTAGACTGTCTGCTTAATATCTGCCGATTCTGCTCCTTCAACAGACATTTAACTGACTATTAAAAACTTTGCAAGTACATGTCAACTTACACTAACCCTAACCCTAACCTAACATTCATTCATTTTCTTGTCGGCTTAGTCCCTTTATTAATCCGGGGTCGCCACAGCGGAATGAACCGCCAACTTATCCAGCAAGTTTTTACACAGCGGATGCCCTTCCAGCCACAACCCATCTCTGGGAAACATCCACACACACACTCATACACTATGGACAATTTAGCCTACCCAGTTCACCTGTACCACATGTCTTTGGATTGTGCACCCAGAGGAAACCCACACGAAGGCAGGGAGAACATGCAAACTTCACACAGAAACGCCAACTAAACCGAGGTTCGAACCCACGACCCAGCGACCTTCTTGCTGTGAGGCTGACAGCCTACTGCACCACTACCTCACCCCCAACCTAACAGTCTACTTATAATCTAAAGAGAATAAGTTAGAATGTCAGACACAATGCACTCAATGGAGTGAGTGTCGTCACTGTGATGGATAGGGTTAGGGATGGGGCTAGGTGAGCGTTTTAAAAAGCATTGGATGCAGCACAGATTGCACTGCACCAGGTCTGCATCCAGACCCCTCTCCTATTTTAATATTTTAGCAGGATAATGTACCACCTAACAAAGCTCAAATAATCTCAAAGTAGTTTCTTGAAGAAGATTCTAATAGAATAACAAATACGGTGCATCCCAATTCACATACTATCCGTTCTAAATTCATTCATTCATTTTCTTTTTGGCTTAGTCCCTCTATTAATCTGGGGTCACCACCGCGGAATAAACGGCCAATTTATCCAGCATATGTTTTTAGCAGCGGGTGCCCTTTCCAGCTGCAACCCATCTCTGGGAAACATCCATACTCACTCATTCACACTCAAACAGTACAGACAATTTAGCCTACCCAATTCACCTGTACCACATGTCTTTGGACTGTGGGGGAAACAGGAGCACCCGGAGGAAACCCACGCGAATGCAGGGAGAACATGCAAACTCACATGCAAACACAGAAACGCCAACTGACCCAGCCGAGGCTCTAACTGACCCTTCTTGCTGTGAGGAGACAGCACTACTTACTGCGCCACTGCGTCGCCCCCTGTCCTAAGTAGTATTTGAAAATAGAATTAGTATGTCCCAAATCGTATATGTTGAAAAGAGTATGCCAAACGATCACGGATGGTTTATTATTTCCAGAACTTTAACTTTAACCAAATACTTTAAGTGGAGATTGGAGAACCTTTCACACTCTAACCGCTAATATAACCCACAATGATTCGAACTACAAACGCAGGTGAAAAAATAAACTACAAACATGGCGGACACACGAGACCGACCATCAAGTAGAGAGGCTTCGGTAAAGATGTTTGTATAACTGTTAAATAATATCTAGCCCACTGAAATAAACATTTAAACGTTTTCTGTGTTATATTTCATCTGCAACAACAAAACTGAATTTAGACATGTTTGAACATTAACGTCTGAATGCAGAATTATCCAAACACCTGAGGAGATTTCTCTTTATAAAAGAATGGGAGATTAACCTACTGCTGCTTCTCCAATAAGGTAGGAAATTAAATATGAAACAAATGTGGATGATGTGTGAATAATAACTGGTGCATAACTAAGCAACATAACGATCTGTTAATGAGAAAGTGGTATGTCCCAGAGCTTGCATACTCTTCTGTTAAACACTCAAAAATGAATATTTTTTCTTCACAAATAAAGTAAATACTTTTAAGGGCGTAGTATGAGCATTAAGACGCAGCATTAGTAACTGAATGATGCAAATCAATATGCCCAGAGTAATGTTTCCAACACTGATGTATAAATAGGGCAAACCTAAAGTACTAGCAAGATCTACTCAATAAAGTGGATCCAGAATGTATATATTTGAAAAGACTAAAGACTTTAGATGAAAATGAATTGCAGTTCACTTTAGAGTGCATTTTTTTTGTGATTTTACTTGAGTTGCATGTGCTTTTAATTAACAGCATTTGGTTGCCACAAAGATGGTGAAGGAACTGACAGACAGTTAGCAGAAGACGCAGAATGAGCCTGGAAAAGGTTTTCTGTTGGGTCATAAATCAGGAGCACCAAACAGAATTTAAAGTGACAGTTCACCCTATAACAAATATTCTGTGATCATTTACTTATCTGGAGGTCCTCTATGGAACAAACTTGACTGAATGTCTTCTGTTAAACACAACAGGTCATACTTGTAGTGTTAGTTCATTCAAAAAAATATTTTGCCGCTATTTACTCACCTTCATATTTCTTTCTTCTGGTGAATACAAAAGAAGATATTTTGAAAAATGCTGGTAGCTGGTACTCTTTGACATTTGATTTTGAAGCTGAAGCGTGCCAACAACCAGCCTTCTTCAAAATGTCCTCTTTTGTGTGCAACAGAACATTTAAAAAACATACATATGAGGGAGAGTGAATGATGAGGCGGTTTTCCTGAACTATCCCTTTAAGAATGTCTCAATGAAACATTCAAAGAAAGTCAATTGGGTGCAGTTTTGTATTAGACCTCATTGACTTTCATTATCATTGGACAAAAAGGTACATGTTGGTGATTTAGTGTACTGTTGGGAAGAGGAGGTTGCAGAGGTCAGAACATGTGCTGGGCGACTGCTGGGTGTCTGTCACTGCTCATGATAAGCCCGATGGACGGGTCTGGCACACTGCACAAGTACAGGAGATTAGACATAATACAGGCGGCCCAACACAGACAAGAAAGCGTGTCAGCAGAAGTTGGCTTCTCACACCGGTCAGAGATAAATTGAGCTGTTGGTAGGTGTCCCTGATCCTGGATCAGTCGAATGCGGACTCCTACCTTGTGCCGTTGAAAGATGGAGTCTTTCCTTTCTCTGTAAGAATAATCTGTGTATGAATGAGAATGAATGATGAGCAGCAGGATGAGGATCAGCAGAGCTCTCCCACACAGCGCTCGGAGACATTCTGTCCTGGACAATTATTTCTGAGTCCACTCCCTACATCCGCGGGGCGACCGTGCTGGACGGGTTTTACCTCTGACCCCGGGGGGACGCAGTAGGAGGCTCAATAAAGCTAGTCATTGCTGCATACAAATCACACAATGGAGAATGGGAGACTTAAATATGGAGCAGAGAGGTAATAACTGGACTTGCCTCTGGGCTTGCAGATTTATCCTTCTGTGTGTCTGTGAGTGTATGTATGTTTTTCTATAGAGACATTTTGGCTCTGTGGAACAAAGAAAAAGAAATTAAGCATGTTTTTCAATCACAAAGATTTATGAACTTTAAAGAACAAATCCCATTTGCACCAAATAATATCTTTTGTGTTGGAAATTCTTTGTTTTGATAAAGCTAATCATATAGCTAAATACATACAAATCAAGTTCTGTTTTGACTTTTTTTTTGTTGCTAAACTGGACAAAATACAGCAAAATCACAAATTTACTGGATTTAAGAAAATGCAAATTTCCTACAAATTTTATGAAAGTTTAAAAAAAAATGTAACCATCATTATGTCAAAGATGCATTTTCATATTTTAAGAGTGGGGCTGTTAACAAAATAAAATACATTTTTATTCATCATAATTTTAACCTAAACAGTTTATATTTGCACATTTTTCTTTTTTAATTGACCTCATAATTTTGAATTAAGATATCATAACGTTCCAGTGGAACAACATGTCTGGTGGCATACCATCACCTTGGAATTATAAGGTTCTCTCTGCGTTCTAAATAGTTTTGACATATTGAGCTTTAAAGTTTTCCATACAGCATTCCATACAGCAAACAATTTGTTTTTAACAGTTCTCTTTCATACATTAACATGACAGAGACCCTAATTGTACTCTAAACGTAAATGATCAAAATTAGCTTAAATTTGCAAGTTGGGGTAAAAAAACAGGGTAAATGCAGATAGAATCTTATCATTCTAAAAAGGCATTTTCCGCTTGTAATTATAAGGTTCTATCTGACAGATCATTAATTGAAGCATTATTTTTCAACAAATACAATCAGTTTGCTTATTAATTTAATGAAAATAAAAGTTGGTGTTATAACAATATACTGATGTATGATAAAGTAAAATGTTTGCTTTGTAAACCTTTTTTAATGTTTTAGGATTAATATTTTCTCTTGTTGAAATTAAGCAAGGCTGTGCTAAATATATATTTTTTTCCGGTGCAGATGTTAATTTTATGTAATTAATATGGTAATTTTAATTGCATTATATGCTTTGTATGATTTATAGAATTATATTTATTGAATTATATGCCCCATTAATTAAATTAAGCATTTGCTTGTCGAGGCTTAATATCAAATATAAAGACTTTAAAAGAAAACAGACAATGAGCAAACGAGTTGTTTAACAAAGTTTAATAAACACTGAAAATTGTTCCACTGACTTTATATACACAAATAAAAATAATTCTTTCTAAAAGTTCTAAAAGTAATTCTAAAAGTTTCTTTTTCAACAATGTAATATTTTGATCTCAATATCAAAAATGCTTCTAAATCGCTCTAATTTAGTTTTTATTTCTGTTTTTTCCCACGAAATGACAAAAAAGCTTATTGGTCCTTGTGTGTGCATTAAAAATGCTGATTATCTCACAGAAGATAATTTTATAGGGCCAAGCTAGAGTTTGACTTTGTAGATAAAACCTTTTTAAGTAAAAAGTCTTAAAATGTAAACGACTTATACAAAAACAAAACAAAAAAAACACTTAATTTGAATAAGTGGTCATTTAATAAGAATTACTCGGTTTTGACAAAAATGTCAGATATAACCTTATAATTTAAGGTGACAATATGCCGAATTCAAGTCTCCACACTGTAAAAAATGATATGGTCAGAAAGTCATTACAGCATGTTTTTATGTAGGTTGAACTACTTTAAGTTAATACGGATTCAAATGTATTTATTTTTAATTACACAAAAATACTTTAAGTTTTGAATTTTTCATATCAATTCAACTGATGTTAGTTAAAATGACAAATAAAGTTAATTGCATTCAACTTTAAAAAAATGAGGGCAGATGTTTTTTACAGTGCAGGTTTGTGAAAAATATCCTGTGTAAACATGATTCATGGTATATTACGTGTTCAGTCTATATGCATGTGTGAGTGCAAGCAAAACAAGGATGGACTGTAGCACTGCATGTGCACAGGCACATAGTGTTTCTTTGCAAAATTACATCACCAACTAACCTGCTTTGCAGTGTTTTTAGATGTGAACAGCAATCGTTTTGATAATGTTGTCATCTGTTTGTGAAACTTTTTCAAAATGCAGGGGCAAAATGTGAGCAGTTTTAGTATGTTACAAAGAATATTGTCACTTCCATTACATACTGTTCCATTACATCACGTTCCATTACATACTGTATATAATAGTGCACAGCATATATGAGTGCAGGCAGCCTATTTTGAAAATAAACATTTATATTCCTTTCATAGAGAATATAGATAATATATTTTGGTTCAATTAAAAACATTTCAGTTTTATTAAACAGTTATATTCATTTTAATAAGAGTGTGGTCCCCAAACAAACTTTAGGAATAGAAAGATAATACCTTTATATTCAAATAAAATATTGTAAAAATACAAACTACAAGTTTTCAACTACATTTGACTTTTTCTTTGTTTCTTTTGATTTTTTCCTCTTTATTAAAATTTGATTAATGTTTTTCCCTGACATATTAATTCGGGAGTACTCATTTTTGAACTGTTACTTTAGATATTTTGTTAGATTAGCTGCAGATTTGGCTTTGGTACTGACTAATGTATATGCACAAATATAATAATGTGATGCATCCTAGAAAGTATTACATTTAAAGATAAAACATAAAAGAGAATGTAGTAATTTTTTGGAGGGGGGTTCATGTGTTGGTCAAAATTTCTTATTCAATAATAATAATAACTATGGCAACATTCAAAACCTTTTATTCATTAACACTTACTCATTAATGGCAAGTTGCTGATCAGACACATGGTTTTAGCGGAAACATATTATCTTATGACTTTTATATAAAATAAAGATTCATCGTAATTATGTGAAAATAGTATAAAGATGCATTATGATGTATACAGATGAATTAAATAATAGGAATGAAATATTGATTGGAGTTTAAATTATTATTGGAGAAGTTAGAGTCTTTGAGATGTTACAGTACAGTAGAGGTGACTGACTGCCAGTACAATGATCAATTGTAAAGTTGAGACGTCATTATGCAAAAATAAAAATTTGCATGTATTGCTTTACCATGGAATGCTTCGATCAACCAATCAGAATCCAGTCTTCCAGAGAACTTCTACTTTATAAATAAAACAGAAGTCACAGAGGCTCTGTGACTGAGGCGCCATATCTATTGATGACTGTGGCTTTAATGCAAACACACTTGATTGAGTTGACAGAGAAACACAGACATTGGATGACTAATGGGAGAAAGATAAACAGTGACATAAAATACAGACAAGGTAAAGAGATAATGACTGGCCCCCGGTAGACCTGATAAAAATGTGTGGATGACTTCACTTCCCGGCTCTACGTTCAGAAGGCTTGCAAACAGACAGGGGTCAGGCGAGGGCAGTGGCTAGTAAGGCTATTCCATCTTGGCCTGTCTTAACGGCTGGGAATCTGGCCTGCTGACCCTTCTCGTGTAGCGCTGCAGGGGAGGGTGTCTGATCCTGACCTCTGACTCCTCAGCTGGTCCTCTCTCTTCCAAAAGGAATCAATTTCTTGAGTCAGTTCTGCGCAAATCATACCACATTGCAGGAGTCAGATTACAAGCAGGAAAAACATCAAATGCGTGGTATGACGTGTTTTTACCAACAAAACGGCCTTTGAACTCGTTATATTCACAGACAGACTCATATGTGTTTGATGGAATTTAGAAATGTACGAAATTTTGAAGTTACTGCTTGCTTTACACTTAAATTAAAGCCATTTTTTGGCATATTTCATGAGTCTGTGTGAATTTGCTAGGACTTTATTTCAGTATGTTAATGTACTTCCAACTGAAACGTAATATCGAGAAAGAGGTGGAGTTTTCTCCGGGGCGGGGTTAAGAATACTATGGCTGAAGCTGTCTAACTGAGAAGGATCGCCACTCTGAATGTGGAAGCAAATGGTCAATCTTTGATTAAAGATTACCAAAACTAACTTTTTTTGTGAATTAACATCCATGGATTTTAACAGAAAGAATAACAATGTAAGCAAAATAAACATTGTAAATTTTGATTTAACATGGAGCTTAAATCTATTTTGAAAAACATCATAATAACTAATATATATATATATATTTGAAAAACTCATCAAAATTTTTATTGGTGACGAATACTTAAATTCCTTAATCATCTGTAAAAATGTATTTAACTGGAAGCCAAACTTTCCAAATTGCACTTACATTACAACATGGAGACACCTCTTAATGTGACAAATCCTCTGACAGCAGGTTCTCCAGATGAAGGACCATTACAAGGCAAGCTGATTTCCAGAAAACTGTGTATTTGCAACGTCTCTAACTCATTCAAGTCCCCCTAAAGGCAAATGCATGAGAGAACAGGACAGTGCAGAAAATCTGATGAAGCAATCTGACTAAGCGTACACTGAAATTGCTCACCGCTTGGAAATAGTATGTTTGTAGTAGTTAGTGTGTTAAACAGAGAAAAGACTGAACCCAAAGTATAAAACGAAGTCAGTGGAGGAAGAAAAGTCTTGTTTGAGTATGTTTTATGCAGCAGGAGTTGTTTATTAGAAGCTTCTTCTGCAACAAACAGGTCCTTCTTTGCTATCATCAACCAGTCAGACATTTTTTTGACAATGAGCAACCTGTCACACGCCTTAAAGGTAAAGCAGTTCCTGGAAGCTGAAACAATGAAATGATAAAACAGCCAGCCCAGAATCCTGAACTAAACCTGATTGAGTATCTCTGGATACTAAGTATCTCTGTAAAGTATCTCTTAAAGCTTTCCAGTTTTCACTTAAATTGCACACATTGAGAGACCTTTTAATGTGACTGAAATCCTCAGACAGCAGGTTCTCCAGATGAAGGTCAAAGTAATGACACTTTTGACCATTACAAGACAAGCTGATTAAGAATTTTAGAAAACTGACACTTTGCAATGTCTATAACTCATTCAAGTCTCCCTAAAGGCAAATGCATGAGAGAAAAGGACAACGCAGAGAATCTGATTAAGCAATCTGCCTACGTGCACACTGAAATTGCTCACCAGTGGGAAATAGTATATTTGTAGTAGTTAGTATGTTAAACTGGGCAAAAAACTGGACTCAAAGTATGCAAAAAAAAAAAAAAAAGTCAGTGGAGGAAGAAGAGTCGTGTTTGAGGATATTTTCTGCAGCAGCAGTTTGTTTATCAGAAGCTCCTTCTGCGACATGCAGGTTCTTCTCTGCTTTCATCACTCAGTCAGACAGACATTTTTATGGCCAGTCTGATAATGAGCATCCTGTCACACAGCTAGAGAGGTAAAGCAGTTCCTGGAAGCTGAAAAGAATAAAATGATAAAACAGTCAGTCCGGAATCCTGAACCAAACCTGATTGAGTATCTCTGGATAGTAAGTATCTCTGGAAAGTATCTCTTAAAACTTTCCAGCTTTAACTTACATTGCAATGTGGAGAGACCTTTAAATGTGACTGTGATCCTCATAAGCTTCTCTAGATGAAGGCCAAAGTGATGACACTTTTGACCATTACAAGACAAGCTAATTATCAGAGATTTCTAGAAAACTGCCTCTTTGCAATGTCTAAAACTCAAGCCAGACCGGAATCCTGACCTAAACCTGATTGAGTATTTCTGGAGAATTATTTGACACAAAGTTATGGGAACTGCTGGAACAAAAATTAAGGAGACTAAAGAACAGTGGTGTCAGAGGCTAGGGGGAAACCCACGCGAGCACAGAGATGCTGACCAGCCCGGAGAGGGGTTAAACCAGAAGCGTTCTTGCTGTAAGGCAACAGTGCTAACCACTGTGCCGTCCTATCTGAGAAGGGAAGGAGTAGGGGTGGACGGGCGGATTCTTCAAGACGAAGATGACTGGAGTGGAAAGCTTTTTTATAGTATTTATAAAATATCTATAGTGTGTCAGTATTCATCTGATTGGTGCAATACACGGAGCTAATGCAGTACCAGCTGTGTTCAATCATAAGCACGTGATCCTCTCGAAATGATAAATAAACCACACATGTATTGTGTTAGACTTTTCGAGAGACTAGTCATGTCTAGTTAGAGTCGTAAAATCCTATAAGAGACTACACTGTTAACGATTTATAGAAATTACACAGTATTTAACTGTAATATGAACTGTATTTTACCGCAGGACAGTTTTGCAGTATGTGATTGTGTTAAGTTGCATTTTTACACACACACACACACACACACACACACACACACACACACACATATATATATATATATATATATATATATATATATATATATATATATACTGTATCTCCACTGTAGCAGCTCAACAGTGAAAAGTCTATCGCGGCAGATTCCAACCAAATAACACATGACAAAAAGATGGCAAATGTTAAGTACAGAGAGGCGAGTCGTGTGGATATTATAGCCATCACTCAGTTTGTGGCGTTAAATTCTTTCTGAAGCTCTATTTTAGCTGACAGCTTCATCTGCGTCTATACAGGCAAATGACTAAAGGAAAAACTTGGCAATATTTCCTGGCAAGTCTTTGGAGAACATAATCATATATGGGCTAAGGCTTTGAACGATTGCTAAGCTTTTTAGTATGTCTGCTCCATGACATCATGACTGAGTGCGCACGTACACAAACACATGTGCAACGCCATATGCTGCCCAATTTTCTAGCAAGGTGGCAAGAAGGCTGTGCTACATGCCTTTCTCTTATCTTTCAAATGTTTCAAAGGTGTGTTTTTGTTTCAGCTAAGGGCTTTCATCGGGTTTTGTTTTCTTAGTTGGCATTCATTTAGCAGGTTTGTTCCAGAGTCGGTGTGGAACAATCACCCCTTCTGTTCTCGCTCTGTGTTTCGCTTTACAAAAACACAACAACAGCCTCAGGTGATGTCGATTTTAGGTAAAAGTTGCATGCTTACCAACATTAACCGATAAACACAGCAGAAAGGCAACGGTTGCTGCGATACAGTAAACTCTAATCATTAAGCTTTAAGCCCCCCGAGCCCTTTATGTCCCATAGCCATTTTCATTCATGTCATTCTCATGCTGCCATGTGTTGATGTGTTGGATCCTCTTGCAGACAAACTCCCTGCCTATTAAAACACAGACCTTCAGACTCTTCAGTCTCTAAGGTTTTTCTTGGACTGATAATAATAGATAAAAAGGCATCTCCTCACAGGCTTACTGTATAATCAAATGCATATGCGCACATAAATGTCATAATGTATATAAATTCATCCTCCCTTTGAATTCATTTTGAAGGATGAGTTGGGGTCATTCAATGCAACCGGTGCCTTTTCAGTTCAATATTTTGCTGAATAAAAAAGTTTTATTAAAATAGTGATATATATATATATATATATTTAGGGACAATGTTACATTTTCAACTTAAAATAATAATAGTAATTCTTCATATTATTAGTATTATTAAAACATTACATTTAACATAAATGTAAGATAAATATACATATTTTTTTATATTCTAATTAAATAATCATATTCCAGAGCAAAACTTACATACTATAAAAGTGAATTTGTGTGTGTGCACGATTGTCTGAGAAATACTATATGGGCTCTATTTTGACGGTCCAAGCGCAAAACGCAGGGCGCAAACGCTTTAAGGGCGTGTCAGAATGCATTTTTCCTAATTTAATGACAGGAAAATTCGCATTGTGCCGTGGCGCATGGTCTAAAAGGGTTGAGTTTATTTTCTTAACGAGTTATGGGTGTGTTTTAAGAATAAACCAATCAGAGTCTCATCTCCCATTCCCTTTAAGAGCCAGCTGCGTCGCACCGCATTTGCTATTTACAGGATGTAAAGTAAGTGGAAGTGGAAAAACTGAGCATTTCAAAAGCAAACAGTTAACAGTTGTTTTTTTTTTTTTTTTTTTTAACAGAAAACAGTTAAACAGAGCATCTACCGCGCAAGAATGAGAGATAATTGATCTACTTTCACTTTTGCTCTTGGATGAGGAAACCTTTATGCACAGACATCAATTAGCCTTTAAATAATTAATTTTAGCGCAAATATTTGTTCCAAAACTATTTCTAAATTCAGTTCTAATTTCCAGCAAACGAATAAATGAACAATAATAACGGTTTTTCATATTTATGTAGGCTAGAAAATAATATGTTTTGTAATATTTTAATCCTTTATATTTATATCCTATATATATTCTTATTATATCCTATATATAGCCTTGGCCTATCCTTAATATTTAAATTTTTTCATATGTAAAGATATTTGCGTATTGCTCTACATCTTGTGTGTAGGCTATTAAGCAGTGTGTAAGGGAGGCGCAAGGTTTGTTTTGGATTTAATGAAAAATCTATTACAGTTTTTCAAAATAGCAACGCCTCAGCAGTGCGCCTCAGAACGCCTTCCTTTTTAGACCAGAACGCCAATGGGCGCACATATGAGCGCAAATGCATTTGCTATTTTAAGAGCGTGTCGCAGCGCCTCAAAACGACTCTTGCGCCAAGCTGAAACTGGCAAACAAGTTTTGTGTTGCCCCTTGCGCCACATTGCGCCGGGTTTATAATAGGGCCCTTTATGTCTATGTACATATTTTTCACTAATATAAATATTTCTAAAAAGTTAGAAAATGTAATATCATATAAAATATATAGTGGTAATGGTAATGTTCTTGTTTTGAAATCTCTGTATTACAAAAAAATCTTAACATACACTCACCGGCCACTTTATTAGGTACACTTACTAGTACCGGGTTGAACCCCTTTTTGCCTTCAGAACTGCCTTAATCCTTTGTGGCATAGATTCACCAAAGTACTAAAAACATTCCTCAGAGATTTTGGTCTATATTGACATAATAGCATCACGCAGTTGCTACAGATCAGTCAGCTGCTCATTCATGATGCGAATCTCTCGTTCCTTCATATCCCAAAAGTGCATTATTGGATTGAGATCTGGTGACTGTGGAGGGCATTTGAGTACAGTGAACTCATTGTCATGTTCAAGAAACCAGTCTGAGATGATGTAGGCATCAACAAGGCACTTGCGCCCACAGAACTGTTGCTCACTGAGTATTCTCTGTTTTTTGGACCATTCTCTGTAAACCCCAGAGATGGTTGTACATAAAAAAAACAGCAGTTAACAGCAGTTTGATAGGTGCACCTAATAAAGTGGCCGGTGAGTGTTCATCAAGATTAACATTAACATTAAATATGTTTTTAAAAAAGATCTCTTCTCCTCATCAAGTCTGCATTTATGTGATCAAAAATCCAATTTTATCTGGAAATATTTTAAAATGTTTAATTTATTACTGTGATCTTAAGCTGAATTTTCAGCAGCATTGCTGATCAGTGTCGGTAATGTGAGTTAGGTAATAATATTACATTTCTAAGTAATGCATTACATATCAAATTTTTTAAAAATAAATATTAATAAGCTAAACTGTCTGTAGTGTATGTGTGTGAATGAGGGTGTATGGGTTGCAGATGGAAGGGCATCTGTTGTGTAAAACATGTGCTGGATAAGTTGGTGGTTCAATCCGCTGTGGGCACCACTGATTCATAAAGGGGCAAGTTGTTTGGCAAGTTAGCATTAGCCATTCATTATTATTTCATTTTGTTTATATATTTAGTGTATGGATTAGCTGTGAATCTGCTTTGACCTTTCCATAACACCGTTTTTTTCCAGGATCCCATGGCTCAATTGCTCTCACAGTTATCAAAAGGTTATAAATCATCTTCCAGATGCTAAAATGTTTATGCCTGTGAACACACTAAATTACACAGCCATAAACTTGTTTATATCTTGGTAGTATTTATACCAACTATTTTATTACCAGAGCAGCTCACCATGCCCACATAATCCCAACGCCTGCAACGATGAACCACTTTCTGCAAAACTTCAAAACAACCCCTTAAATCAGACTTGGCCAGGCATGGATTTGGTTAAACCTCTATTTAGAGTCGGACATCCCAAAATGATGAAACGACCGCTGATGTCATCCTGATCTTTACTACACATGTATTGCTTTTCTTCATAGGTGTCATCAGGTGCTGTCAGAAGACACAGTGTCTCAACCAACTATCTCACACTCTAAAAATAACGCAAGTCGTAGTGTCAGCTAGACTTGGCAATGTTGGCTGAGGGGAGAAATCTGAGCGTAGGGATGCAAGGAGGATGGAAAGACAGTAGCGGGACTAGGGTTCAAATTTAAAAGGCAGAAACCACAGACAGATTGATGCAGGCTGCAAGCGCAGAAGTCTTTCCGTGCCATTCTATTCCACTGATTAAATGTGAGGCGTCTGATGCAGCGTGAAGCCTGTGCCCTCAAACCACAACCAACACAAACTCACTGCCACAAAATATTGAGGTAAACAAACTTTTTTTACACGCAACATCACATTTCAACATTACATGGGTAAACATTGCACTTCATCTTTAAAAATTCTGACTTTTAAACTTTGAACTTTATGAATAAGTGTTAGCTATCAAAGCATTTTAAATTAATTAAAGCCATGATTTGACACTGTAAATACTGATTAACGTTACTTATAAAAGTAAATGTGTTGCCTTAAATTAAAAAAAAAGTATATGCATTATTATAAAAATATTTTTTTAAAGAAACTCAACAGTTACAAAGGGTTTTCTCACTTTTAAAAAAAGTAAAGTCAACCTATCTCTCTTTTAATTCTTAAATTCTTATTCTTTTTATTCTTTTTTACTCATAAAGATTGGGGGTGTAACCCTGGTGTCCAGGCCAAATTCCCTTTATCGGCCCTTACCCATCATGGCCTCCCAATCATCCCCATCCACCAGATCAAAACGGCTCTATCACCGTCCCTCCACTCCACCTAGGTGTATGGCCATATGCAATAATTGGGCTATATAAATATACACATTACATTTTCATTATATTAAAATAACTAGTCTAATCCGTTTTTACAGGGCGCACTTGCATGTTTATAGTTGTGAATCATGCAGTATTTAGATTCTTAACAGTGTTGGAGAGCTGTGTTGAAAATAGCTCAGCTACTTGCGATACAACATAGCCTTTCCAGTAGCTCTTGAGCAAGTATAGCAAAGTAGCTTGATAATATGACGTTATCTGTTTATTCCATTTAGTCAAACTGCAATGGTGTGAAGCAGAACAGCACTGTCTTGAAAGATCACATACTACATTAGTGGATTAAAGCCATCTATTGAAAATACACGCATCTCATGGCTTTACATTTATTTATTTATTTATTAATGCATAACTGTAATTTTTTAAATAATATTTTTCTAGTAACAGTTGGAATTCAGTTCATCAAAATTAATTAATTAACTCTCAAAATAGACCCATATATGTTGGTGCCAATAGCCTAGTGGTTAAGTGCACAGACAGATAGCACCATGATGCTCACGACAACCTGAGATTGATTCCCAGCTTGAGGTCCTTTGCTGACCCTTGACCTCTCTCTGCTCCCAATACTTTCCTGTCTGTAATCTCCACTGTCCTTTTTAAATTAAAGATGAAAAAACCCTATAACAATAATTATATAAAAAATAGAGACTTATGTCACTTTCTGTCGAGATGTACATGATATGTGTGTGTGCTGGCGCTCATGGGCTGTTTCACGGGGACACGCAAAGCTTGAAGGTAAACAAACAACGGCTTATCAAAAACATCTTATCAGTAACTATTATCACAGTTGGCATTAAGATGAACATATAAACGTTGTCGCACTAACTTCTAGTAGCTAAATGGGTCTGGGAAAATATTCAAAGGCTTTTATTCTCATAAACCACGCGGACATGAATGCATCTGACTGTTCGGATTGGCTAAAGCAGACATCTCACGCCAGCACGTTCTAGACATGCACGCTTCTTCCTTCTACATTCACAGAGTGCAGCATTTCGGCAAATTACCGATAAACAACTTCTCTTTTCGGAAAATGGCCAGAACAAATTTACCGGTATTGTCAAAAAAGACCTGTTTACACTAGGGCTGCACGATATTGGAAAAAATTGACATTGCGATATTTTTTCCCCCTGCGATATATATTGCGATATTTTATATATATATATATATATATATATATATATATATATATATATATATATATATATATATATATATATATATATTTACTTAAAACTAGGGCTGTGACGGTCACCATGACAACCGCGTCACCGCCGTGGTCATTGCCACCTCGGTTGTCCATTGCCACCGGCCGTAGTACGTGACGTCACGCACTTTAAAACACAAATTACTGTTATGTTGCCAAGTATTACATATCTGTTAGAATATAACATTAGGCGCGATTCAGCAAGTTCAAGTTCAACCATGAATTTTGTTAGAAAACGAACTCTTACGTCTGGGAACATTTTGGATTCATGCCGACCGAGAAAGGTGAACGAATCAATTTGGATTAAGCTTTTTGTATGGGGGTTTTAAGTAAAGTGTGTTTTAATATTCACTGCTGAGTGCTGAGAGTCCAAACACTGAGGAGCAAATCCATCGATACGCAGATCCACGGGTCCCGAACCATGCAAGCTAGTGGCGATTGACGGCGAGGGAAAAAAAGCCATGTAGGCTTAATCAACTCCTGTCTTCTAAACGCAGAAGCCCAGCTCAGCCAGGCATGGCAGAGGCATTTGCAAAAATGGCCAGATACAAAAGAGAAAGTGATAAATGGAAGACATTGACGAGAAATTGATCAACATATTTGGTAACTTAGTTAAGAACGCGCCGCTCCGCAGCGTAGAGAAACCTGCGTTGCGAGAAATGCGGGCGGCGGAACAGAAGGAGAAGCCCTCTCTCGCATGGTTGTGAAAAAGTAGCCTGTCTGTGCATTTTCACTACAAGCACACCGTCTGACAGTGTATTGCTGGAAACATTATAACCCCATTCTTCACTTAAACCGGACAAATTCAACATGTTAGTTTTTCTGGCAAATAATTCAAAATATGACTACAAAAGGTGGAGAGAAACTACGCAGTTTTTTTTAAACATCTGACTTATATTGTTACTAGGTTAATATTGTATTTTTACTTATAATTATTAATATTTATATTATTATTACACTGATTAGTAAAGTGCCATTTAGACTATTTGTTAAGTTCTTAAAAATGTAACGTTAAATTGTTATTATTATACAGTTTCAAGCAGTTAAAGTAATTTAATATTTAACTACAATATTTATAAACAGTTTTGTGTTGTTTCATTAACGAAAGTTCAAAAATAAACATGTACGTTTATACGGATGTTTTATTTATTAATATTTAATTAAGTTATTCCTTAATTTTTACATAAAAGGTAAATAACTTAGGTAGGCTACATTATTTGTTGATGTACGAGATCGAGGAACATGTTTGCCAGTAAATAATGTTCGCACCACTTAAATAACAAAACAAATGAATAACTTGCGAAAAGGATGCAATAAAAAAATGCAAGCGCTTAATCATTCTTCACAATCGGATTCGTTCATGCAATAAGCCGAGGCTATATTGCGCCGACAAGAACAAGCCCTAAAACTAAGTCTAGAGAGAGAATTAATACTTGTTAATATTAATGATTATAAACACGAACTGCGTTGTATGATAAACGCATCACAATGATGTCGTGATTCTTGCTGAAGAACTGATATGTTATCGCCGCCCGTCTCCCCAGCCAGGTTTTCATCTGCCTTTTCCCCCTTCTTCTGGATACAAACAATAAAGTATCAGCGCCAGACCAGTGGTTTAAATTATATTTTACTCTCCTGATTTCTTTTCTTTTCATTAAAAATAAATAAATGTTTAAAGTTTTGTATTGCATAGCCTATATATTTTTAAAGATTATCATTCAGCCTACCTGCAGCGCATGAGGTTGTGTGCTGGGCAAATCCCCTTTACTCATGCTACCCATTTAATTAATGACACTGTAAACTTGACTTGGCAGGCTGATCATCTTTAAACTCAAAAGGTGTTTTTAACTTGAGACTGCTTCTGCATAATGTTTCTTATTACAACTGTTTCTTATTTCACTAAAACATGAATTGAATGCCCAGTTCTTTCCCGTGTGAGTTTAGTGCGCCTTCGCCGCGTCTGCGTTTTTAACAGGTGCACCCTGACCTGACGCGGGGACCAGATCTCTGTATTGCTTTAATTTCTCAATTTTCATAACTGCATTGCATTTTCATATGGTAAAATATCAAAATTTATGTTCTGAAAGTAGTAGGAATGACGGGAGTGCAAGTAATTAATAACAGAAAGAACTTTCACTTTTGAGTGAACTTCTGTCACGTGTTATTTTAGTATGGTAAAATAAACAAAAATAATAATGCAGAAAAGTATTTTTCGCTCTGCCAAGCCTTCTCTGTTGCTGTACAGAGAAGCAGCCTGCTCAGTCTCCTTACCCCGGCCCCACCCCGCCCACCGACTCCTGAACGTCTCACTCACTCACTCACTCACGCGGGCATGCACTGCGGTCTCATGAGGAAACGCAGCTTTTTGATATAATGTTTTTCTTGTTCCCAAATACAAATAATTTATCAAGTATTGTTTGAAATAAGTATTCGTAAAAACACATGCTATTCCTGCTTTTCCGAATACCGTATTCCGGTTCGGCTCCACCCATAATATATATATATATATTTTTTTTTTTTTGCTTTGCATCGCACCCTCCTGCGATGTGACTATCGCGGATGCGCACATCGCGATTTCGATGCTGAAACGATATATCGTGCAGCCCTAGTTTACACATACACACCTTTCCGGAAAATTGCCGGTAATTTTCCGGAAAGGTCTGTATGTGTGAAAGGGGCTAATATCTTCGTCTTGAATACCCCCCCCTACTTCCTCTCCCTCCAGATGGATGACAGGGCGGAACAGTGATTAGCACCATTGCCTCACAGCAAAAATGTCTCTGGTTAAAGTCCCTACTAAACCAGATGACATTTCTGTGCAGAGTTTTGCTCCTTCTCCCCATGCTCGCAAGGGTTTTCCCGGGTTCTCCGGTTTCCTCCCACAAACACACAACCTAATTAAATTGAACACACAAAATTGATACCATAGTCAAGCTCTTAGCGAATACACCTCTCCTCAGCCAACCATATCCGTCATTTAGCTAGAATAAGTCGGAGAGAGTTCATCGCGAGCTACCTGAGCTCAAACTCCCCTCTCGCCCTGCAAACGGGAGGGAGCCCAGGGCTCGAGGATCTCATAAGCTTAGTGCTCTCTCCCAGGATAGCATGCCAAACAAGCTTTAATATTAATCATCAGCTAAGTGTAAACTCTTGAATTTTCCTCAAGAAATGCTACTTAATCCCAGTTAATTATTATGATATTGCAATGGTACATTTGTTGCAGTTTTGCACTTCGGCTTTTGACAGTCTGAGAAATGTAAAAACGGCGTAATATATTTATATATATATATATATATATATATATATATATATATATGTACCAACTATTTCATGTTGTTTTATTTTTTTAAACGCCTCTATGAAAATAGTTATGAAAATAGATCTTTTAGGAAGCTACTTTTAGGAAGTGACTTTAAGTGTAGCTAGCTACTTTTTTAGACGTGTAGTTTGACAGCAGCTTAGCTTCTTTACCTGATGAGTAGCTTGTAGCGCATCAAGCTACAGTTTCAGAGTAGCTTTACAAACACTGGTCTTAAAGTTTTTTCAGTCCATCCTAAACATAGGCTGTGATCCCCTACAATATTAACGCTACACATTTCAGCATAGAAACATCTGTAAATTCCAACAAAGATCATAGATTATTTTATGCTTCCCTAAATGTTAGTGCACAAACAAAGAATAAATTCCATATAATTTACAGTATATGCAATGCCTCCCTTTTGGATCTTCAAACACTGCGCATGCAGCTCCAGGACATCATGGGAAAACACTAACACAAAGGAAAGGAAGAAGGAAAGAAAATAAGACACAAACACTTAAATAATCCTGATGATAAGGTGAAGAATTAAGGGAAAGAGGGGAAAGCATCTGTGGAAGCATTTACTGGAAAACTGGAACTTTATGGGAGTGAAATGTCTAGAAAGACGCAAATTAAGTCTGCTCAGACAAATGCTGAGCAAATATGTTGTAAAGTAGTAGACCATCTGGGACAGTCGGGAGAACTAATTTGCAGTGCATACAAACACTTAACCGCAACTTCAACTCCTGGTGACTGGAATAAGGCAAAATGAAGCATCATCCACCCTGATGTCTGAGACAGCAGACTATAAGGGTAATAAAAAGTGGCCTTAAAGAACGAGTTCAGCCAAAAATGAAATTTCTTCTTTTGCACAGGTTATATTATTCCAAACCTGTGAGATGAAACAGCACTGAAATAAATAATACATATTACACAAAATTTTGTATAAAATAAATATATATAAATATAGATTTATTTAATCATTTGTACTAAATAAATATATATTTATTAATCTCATCTTCTGTTTCCAAAATGCATCACAAACTGCTTGAGAAACTGTTCTACTATGATAATTGGTGATGAAAATTTATGATGTTCAATAAGATGTGCGTGTGTTTACTAACTGTTTATTTAGTTAAACATAAAGTCATAACTGAACTAAACAGAAATGGAATTAAGACGTGGAGAATGCATATATTAGTGGCATTGAAGTAAACACCGCAGTCAAACTATTACCATCATGTAGGACTTTTCACTAAATTTTCCAACAAGATCCACATACACGGCTGTAAGTAAAAGAACCGCACGCACACACACACACACACACACACACACACACACACACACACACACACATCGTGAAATGCAAAAGTTTTTTCTTTCTACTTGGTGTGCGTTATTACATTTTACAACACTCTCACCAGTCCTTACTCCTTATTTTATGTTGAATACCCCAGTTGGTTGCGGGGGCATGAATGAAATGTTCATGAGTGAATCCTGAATGAATCATAATCAAGGTGAAAGTAGACCCAGCTCCCAAAATAACTTTGACAACAGATTAACGGTGATATTTTTTTATCGCGCAATAAGAGTCTCGCTTTAACGCAGCACATTAACTTCGATTACAGCCCACCACTAATATATATACATGCGCATGAACTGAAGAGCGGGGAGTGGTTATGTATATACTGTATATATAAAAGATCAATTCCAGCGTTATGGATGTGAGATTTGCAGTAGAATCTCATAACATAAATACACAGAGAAAGTATATGTTAACATTATATTGAAACATCTGTTTATATTTTCCAAACTTACTCACTGCAGAGTTATAGAATCAGAGAAAATACCAATCAACAAACATTTTTTTCTATTTTAAATGATTGGAAAATAGACATGCGTTATAGATGTGATCAAAAAACTCTGTAAGTTTATAGTATGCAACATACTTTGTAAAAATTCTGTGAATTACGCTGCACAACCCAAAAGAAACAATGCTAATCAAAAAGATAAGAGTCGGCTCTCTAGAGAATAAAAATTATTGATTTTATTTTATTTAATGTTTTAGCATTTATGAGGAAAAAGCTTTATCATGGATGTGACATCTCTCTGTTATGGATGTGACAGATGTGAAATTGCCACTTATGTGACTTTGGTAAATCAAATGCAATTGTTTGAAAACATTGACAGATACATTTTTGAGTATTTTTTACAGAACTGTAAAATATAAGCCTACACAAAAAAACCTAGAAGGGGTTTCGCTGCTTTGGTGAAAATCTTTTTTTCATGGCAAGATTGACATTTGCCTTAAATTGCTCTTAAGTAAGAAAATGCAGATTTTGTTAAGTATGTAAAAACACAGACTTTCTGTTGAACAAAATGTTTAAAATTAACTTAAAATAAATTTAAGTTAAGCAGACATGTTTTAAAAAAATTAAAAATGATAAAGCGCATAAAAGTACTAAAATATACAATCAAAATACTTAATACTTAATAACTAATTTTAAAATATAAACTTAAAATAAAAGCTAATATTTAACAATAACTTAACATGATAGGAAATGCTGTAATTTTTGTTGTCCTTTAGTTCATTTAATATCATTTCTAAAACATGCATACGTGTGATTCAGTAAAACTGAAAAACAAAAACTATTATTATAGTGAAATCTATAATACAAATGATCTTTAAATTGTGCACAGCCGAATCTTCTTCAGATCTCTGCCTTCCAAATGGCCACGAAATAGTGTATTTAGCAAATAAATTCTATTAATAATGCATATATAAAATGCATAACTTCTATTTCTCCCTAATTTAGATTCTTATTGTTATGATTTTTATTATTTTGTTATATATATTATTTTGTAAACATGTCTATAAAATAGTTGCAAACAATTTATTTCTGTTAAATTCAAAAAAAATTTATTTAGTAATATTCAACTTATATTGTTTGTTTAAATTCAGTCAAAATAAACTGTTAGCAACTTAAAAATTAGCAAATCCAAGGAATAAACTTTGAATATTTTTTTTCTGTGTACTTTGTATGACTTCTTATGTGAAAAATGACATCTGAGTTTGAATATAAATGAGCACCAGAATGTATTTTATTGAGAACAACAAGGTTCCAAGAATTGCTAAAATACTCTGACTTTTCCACCTGAAAGACCATTTTTATAAATTTGAACATGAACATGAAAAAAATTATATTCTATAATCACATCTGTGTGTATGCTCATATTATAAATGAGGCCCCCTGTCCATTAGCACAATATTTATCCATCAATTATGAATCATCAGCTAAGCCATTATTGATTTCCCCAGAGCACTGACCACCATCAGCAGTCGCATAGCTCTGCGTTTCTGGGCTCCAGAAACAAAACAAGCAATTCCCCTTAATTCTCTTTGAATTACATTGCACAGCCTGCCCACCTCCAGGCCTGTTTGTTTTTAAATCCCATCTGGGTGAAAGCAGGGCCACATGGTCGCCTGTCGCAGCACACAGAGGGTTAATCAACTCCAAGCATTGTTCAGTTTAGCTCAGCTCGTTAATTTGGGCTAGAAAAATACCTCCAACTTCCACAACACATTAGCTAAAATAAAACAAGCCAAAGCCGCATGTTGTTTGAAATGTCAACGGGTCGAATGGAAACTGACGGGGCTAATAACAGATCACGAGCCACGGGCAGGCAGCCCGTCGTTTATGCAGTTGCTGTAATGGAGACTCTTGATTTCTCAAGGCATAAGCCTCATACGGTCCCAAGACAGCTGTTTCTGTAGAACTGCAAAGCTTGGCTGAACGCTGACCTTACTCTGGCTGTTGACCCACCAGGCACGCCAACGAGTTTCCAATGAGCATCACCGCTAAAAACCTAGAAATCAAGCTAAAGCTGTACTTTCTCTTGATCAGTGCATGCTCAAGAATGCAACTAATGAAATTAAGGATTCTGAATTTACATATAAATGGCTTCATTCTGGAGATGCTGAAGCTGGGCGACTTCAAGTAAAGTCAAAGAATGAACTGCTGTGACATCATTCTGAACCAAATCAGGTAAAAAAAATTAGGCCATTGTACAATTTAAAAAAAGTTTCCCATTTAGAAAAGACTTTTAAATAATCATAGGCCTATGGTGATTACATAGAAGATAGCTGAGGCTTTGAAGCTCCGCCTTCTTTGGCATGGAAATCTTTTCTGGTTCATTTCTACTGTCCAGTTCTTGAAGTCAGAGAGATTCAGTAAAGATCGGTTAATGGAATAGTTTTTATATTTTGCAATAGTTTTCCTTCACAATTAATCAAATAACCTATACTCCAATAGCCTAAAGTTCTTATTTTTTGTTTAAATTAATTTGAAACTACTGTTTGAGTTCATTTTCTATTTACTGCTTGGAGATCTAATCAGGTGATTATGACATGTGAATGCCACAATGCATTGGTGCATGTGTGCTGTTCTTAATATATTAGCCATGTTAATAAGTCTTACAAACTTTTTTTTCACAGTTTTTAGGTGCCTTGGAGTGATGACTTGATTTTAAAAGACTCTCATATCCAAGGAGCACCAATACACAGTTTACCCCTGTACTACATCTGTATGTTTTTGCGCTTTTCTAGTTTATCTGCTTTGTTCAGTTAAATTAGATGTCCACAGGTAAAATAAACATCAAAGAGCTGCTTTATAGTAGAAAATGAAGCGTAATTCTAATTGAAAGCAACACTGACACCTTAGTTTGTTTAACAGTGAATACTTAGATGTGATTTGTTTAATACTGAATACTTGTTTAGTACTTATTGTTTTTGTTTATATACAGTGCTCAGCATACATAAGTACATCCCTCACAAATCTTTTAAACTCATATTTTTAATAGGAAGTTATACAATATTATATTTGTGCATATACATTAGTCATTACTGAAGCCAAATCTGCAGCTAATGTAACAAAATAGCTTAAGATAACGATCCGAAAACTAGTACACCCAAATGTATGCTATAGAAAAATATTAAATACAACTTTAAAAAAAGGAAAAATCAAGAGAAGCAAAAAATAGTTTTAAATTATTTTTATTTTTAATTTTGCGCTATTTTGTTTGAATTTAATTGTTTTGTCTTTCAATGTCTAAAGATGTCCAGTGACTAAAATATTATTTAAATAAATATATCTAATAAATCTGTTTTGTTTAAATGCAACAAAATACATTGCCTATATTTACTGAGAAGTGAACAAAAATAATAATTTTCAAAATGGGGTGTACTCAATTATGCTGAACACTGTAACTGAATAATCACTTGCTTTCAAGCCATCTAGTATAAAAGACAATATAAATAAATGTGATGTGAAGTGATATGCAAACATCCTAACTGGTATTATCAGATGCATTCTTAACTACTGTTTTTCACTATTGTTTATCTTGTTACAGAGAGGAAATTGGAAACATCGCTTTCAGCATTATGGGCATAGTGAAGATGATCGCTGAATGTGCATATATATTGCTGCTTAGGTAATTCACACTTCTTTTTTACCCGTAAATGAAAAACAGAGTATATAGCGAGTTTAAGAATACTGAGGCCTTGATTGAGTGGCAGAGATGAGGAGGGTACTGCAGGAGAAGGGGAATGTACCAAGTGCCATTTGGGAACAGCTGCCATTCCTGAGTGAAGTGTTTATAGTGTAGCTAACAGGGAGTCAGGGAGATGCCTCACAGGGGGGCTTCGTGTGGTCTAGAGATGAGCATTTAGCCAAGAATACTTCAAAATCCCACAGGCTTTAGAGCGCCACTGGTGTTGGCTTTCCCCACGAGCGCAAAACAGCATTGCAAACATCACACAAACTGGTGGATATATTCCAATGTGAAGCAATCGGAACAACACACATTTTATTTGACTTTTTTTGTTCAGATATTAAACTTCAAGTACATTTATTCAAGCATCAAAATATTTTTGCTGTTCTTTTTAGCAACTGTTTTTTAAAACACATTTTCCCCACTTATCTTCCCTCCTAATTTAGCTAAAAAAATAGTTTTGTATTATTTTTGTCAATTCATTATATTATTTTATCATTTCTAGCCTAAAATGATCAGACTTAACAGTGTATTCATGAATTTCTTTCCAAACTGTCATTATTATAATTTAAAGACTCTTAAAGACTCTCAAAAAATAATTCAGCCAGAAAGCTGAGTACATTCTTCTTCAGTTCATGGAGAGCAACAGTGCCTTATCAGCCATTGTAAACAAGGACATAAACCATGATTTCTGGAATTACACCTCTCAGCGACTCCCCATTTTCCCATGAAGAGCACCTGATCTTGGCGAAGGCAGCAGCAGGAGGAAGAGACGGCAGGGATGAGCAGAGACAGAAAGTGAGAAGGAGGGATGTGTTGACGGTCTCCATGACGCTGTACTTTTAAATTCTCAGGCATGGGCTTTCAAAACATCTGCACATAAGAGACACAGTGTAAACATACGATGTGTGAGACTGGGCATATGGCAAATAGACGCACACACTTACGTCACACTTCCACACATGCCAGTAATTGCACATACATGCATACGTATAAAACACACGGCATGCACACATACACTAACACAAACAGTACAGACAGCCTATTCATCTCACTCATGTACAGGTGGTGTCCATATTCATCTGCACTAAAGATGTTGGCAGAAATGTTATTGTTATGCTTCTATTCTTTAAATTGGTCTCTCACCTTTTTTGATCTTCGTCCTAAAAAAGAAAAATGGTTAGAGGATTAGACTTAGCATAAATAAATTTTTTAAAAATGACAAAAAAACAATGCTTTTTTAACATATTACAGTGTTTCCTCTAGGATTTTTTCCAGCTGTGGTGGCAGACTCTGTTGGGCATTTTACACAGATCTACCAAATACATGTGGCGTTATTTTTATTGACAAATATCGTGAGCGCAGTATTACAAGTCGAGATCGCATTCATATAATACAAGCGTGTCAATCTCTGTGCTCGAGCACCAATTTCCTCTGTTTGTGCACAAAACTTCTTGCGCGCCCTCAAATATACGCGGCTCAAGAGCAGACTTTCTTGTGGCCCTCAAATAAGTGCTGCTGAAGTGTGCACTTATTTGTAACGAGTATGTCTCCAACAGTAATTAGATTTGCTAGGTATATTTATGAATTTCTCCAATAGACCTACAGAGCAGCATTAATGCGTCCTGAAGTAAAGTGAAACGGCTATAAACTCCAGCAAGATAAAGTCATTGTATGATAAAAGCATAGACCTTTATCTATAAATAGGTTAAAGGGTTAAACAAATAACACACGGCACTTCTATGATTACAGAAAGGTTTGCGCTGTTATAATTCACTTATCTTTTAATACGTTTTGGTATGATTAGAACCCGCTATTAAAAAAATTACTGAATGTTATGAATGATAAGCTGTAATGTAGCCGTGGTGGGATGAATTTTGGTGTGGCGTCCTGCCTTGTAACAATCAATGTAGTGGAAACCATGTATTATCTAATTTGTGATTATTAACATACTTGCTGTAAAGAAATATGTGATCAAAAAGTCATGGCAATGTATGATTTTATGTTACTATAACTTATTTTAACCTGTTTAATCAGGTTTTAACTTTTAATTTTAGCTTAATGTGTAACTGAAAAGATTTAATTATTTTGATTCAACTTAGGAATTTAAAGGTGCTGTATGTAAGTTTTTGACTCTTCTAAAGCATAAAAATACCATGATATGTTTGCAGAAATTTAAGAAACATGCCTAGTGAACATTTTTGTTCTTCTGAAAAACAATGCTAAAGTGAGTAATTCTGCTTTGAAAATTTGTTTTCTGTGCCGGAACGCTGTCTTTGTTTTCGTCATTTTAACCTGCCCGTTGCCAGTTTAACCAATTATATTTCAGCACCCCAGGTTGCCTTGGTGGAAAAACACATATTTCATTCATTCATTTAGAAAGGCTCTCAAAGCATGTGCTCGTGACCGAAAGGCGACCTCCGGTGGACAAAAAGAGACGCAGATTCAGTTCAACATGAGGTTATTAATTAGCAAATATATAAATATTAAGAACGTTAACATTAGGTGAGCAGGTTACATTGTAACCGCGTATCCAAACAACATGCTACGTGACGAGACATGCAGTGATGAGCAATTTGGCTGTTTGCACCAGACGAAACATGACAGAAATTTAAATACAGCCATTCAGAAGCACATAATATGCACTCGTTAATAAGTTTATAATCTATTTAATACATATTAACCCACTTTAACATTATTAAATGTACATGCTGAATAACTCATTTGTGTTTAGTTCCAAAGTTCAGTTTCAAACGGTTTATTTTATTTTGAAGATCTGAGGTGCTGATCTGCTGCTGCTTTCAGTTTCATTACAATAAATGTCATGTAAAACGTTTTTCAAGCTCACATTATAAGTGTTTAACACTGAATAAAGCAAATGAGGTGTACCCGTTAGTTGTTCACCTGTGAGAAATAAAAGCCATTTCTAATATATTAACTCGAGGTGTTGGTTAGGACAAAAACTCCATTTAATATGGAAAATATTCATTATATCGGGTGCCGTTGCTTATTAGAACCTGGTTTATATCACTCATTCCTGTACTCAATCTGGCAACCTGCGCTTGCGTTTGTTTTGATCCAGGAGTGCAATATCTAGTTCAACCACTGGGTGTCAAACATATATACTGCACCTATAAGTCAACATTTTTTTTTTTACAGTGTTGCCTTGATTAATTCCTTAATTATCAGTCACACTATTACATAAAAATATGTTAATGGGAGCTGAGATGAAGAATGCTGGGTATAAAGTTATAGTATTTAGTATACTATAAACTTATAGTGCTTGTCTTCCTTTAAGGAAAAAAATTACGATGTAGTTTTTATTTCCATCTTATTTACAATGAAATTTAAAAAGTGAATTAATTAAAATAAAAGTAATTTTTAATGCGGTCATACTCAAAATAACATGCATAGTGTTTGCTCTTAATTTTCCATAGTGTTAAAAAAATATTGCAAATAAGGGATGGACAGTGAGATTGTCATTATAGTGATTTATGATGAACAAATGACTTACCTGCAAGAACTTGAGGCAGCATATAACACAGAATTACTAGCATGGCGATTATAAACCCGAACACTGCGATATACCACATGGTAGAGTCAGGTTCTGTAATACAAAGTGATAAAAAAGGCTATAAAAACGAGTACTGAATATCTGACATACTGTAATGATACATGATGCCTGCCACCTAGTGGTTAGTTGTAATATTAACTATGAAGGACACAGAGTCAGGCACTTTCCAATTGTGCAAACGAATCAGGTTCACCTGTAACTACGAGGTAAAAGCTCTTGCGGACAGGGGTGAGCAAAGACTTATGTGAAACTCTGCAGGTGTACTTATATCCAGAGTCTTCTAGGCCAGGCTGTAGATAGAAGAAGGCTGAGAGTGAATATGTGCCATCCTGATGTATTCGATGACTGGAGTACAGAACGTTCTTCAAGAACAAAGGTGTAGGGCTTCCTCCATGTGGCTCACGGTACCACTCAATGTCTACGTCCAGTGGATAGTAGCTTTCTGCTTCACAGATCAGCTTCTGGTCCTGACCAATTACCATAGACAAGGTGGAGCCCACATTCAGAGACACGCGGGGCTGTTCTGTAGTGTAACATACAAAAAGGACATTAAAGTGATGATTTACTTAAAAAAAGTATACTTCTTTCATTGTTTGCACCATTTTGTTCATCCAGTCCTGTATGACTGATTTTCTGTGAAAATACAATTTAAAAAATATTTTGGCTGTTCTTGCTAATGCAATGAAGTCAGTGGGGTCCAAATTAACATTTGAGTCCACTAACCTTTATTGTTTGAAAAAAAAAGTATATATCTTTATATTTATATATATATGATATGTGTTATGATTTGATATGATATATGATTTGTGTTCCACGGAAGGTTTAGAATGAGTAATTAAATATTTATTAAAGGTATTAAATACTGTATATAGAGCATTATTTCAATTTATATGTGCTGAATTGAACCTAAAAATTGAATTCATTTTCAAAAAATGGATTTTATTGTATATGAATAAATTATCTTAATATTTACAGTCTTAAACCTGCATTTTGGTTTAAATAGATAAATTGCATAATATACTGTATATTATAAATTATAATTCTATAATCTTGTTTATAGAGATAATAAATAATATATCATTTTTCCACAGAAGGTTTAGAAAGACGTGAAAGTAACTAAACTGTGATATTTGTTTGATTCCATCAATGAAATATTTGTATTGTAAAAAGTGGTTAACCAGTAAATGTTAAATGAATCTAGTTTATCTTCTCACCACTTAGGCTAAGAGGAATATCATGGCTGCCATAGAGAGGAGGAACCATCACAGAGCAGACATATGTGCCCTCACTGTGCTTTCTGGTTGGTTCAAGTTTAAAGGAGGCGTTTCCGCCAGCGATGGTCTTGACAGTCACTCCTTTGCCTTCACTTTTACCAGTGCGGCTGGAGTAGCTAAAAAGCTTGGTCCGTTCTCCATGTCTTTGAAGTCTCCACTCCACTGTTGCATTGGGCAGTTTATGATCTACTGCAAACTGACAGTGCAGCTCTGGCTCTTTCAAGAATCCCACCTCAACAGAGGGAGTCCGGGTCAAAACAACCATTGCAGCTGGAAAACACACAAGGAAGACACTTTAAAACATGCAGGGTTTTTCCTGCAAAGAGAATTACGAGGTGGCCACCTCCATTAAATTTGTATCACCACTCAAGTCTACTGACAGACCCTAGGTCATGCTCAAGCATTGGTCATGCATTTAATGTTAGTCTTTTAAAATATATTTTACTTGATAAAATTACAAGAATAATGCAAAATCAGGGTACCACCTCCACCTCATGGTTTAGAAACTATGATAGTCCCTTGATTGCAGTGGTATTCTGAAATTAGGAAGTAAAGTGAGTCAAAACCATTTCATAACATTACACTATAAAGAGGCGGTTCATTCCGTTGTGGCGAACCCTGATTAATAAAGAGACTAAGCCAAAAAAAATAAACAATAAATGAATGAATGAACACTATAAAGAAAACAACAACCTACATTTAGACACCATTTTTGAAGTAGCGATTGCTTTCACTTGTGAATCTTTATATTAAGGTAATATAAATTTAGATGGATGAATTAATAAAGACAAGAAACTTATTTAGTCTTCTGGCAGCTAGTAAAAAAAGATTGAGTTGAAGAATGGATTGATACAGTGCACACTAAATTTCATGAAGACGTTCTTTTTCGTTAAGAACACAGACCAAATACTTTCTTCTTATTTGGAGTAAATATATTCATTATATTTCACCAATATGCCCTGATTTTTCATGAACTCAATATACAGTTGAAGTCAGAATTATTAGCTCCCCTAAGTTATTAGTCCCCTGTTTATTTTTTCCCTGATTTCAGTTTAACAGAGAGAATATTTTTTTCCAACACATTTCTAAACATTTAAGTTTTATTAACTCAACTCTAATAGCTGATTTATTTTATCTTTGTCATGATGACAGTAAATAATATTTGACTAGATATTTTTCAAGACACTTTTATACAGCTTAATGTGACATTTAAAGGATTAACTAGGTTAATTAGGTTAACTGGCCAGCTTAGGGTAATTAGGCAAGTTATTGTATAACAATGGTTTGTTCTGTAGACTATCTAAGAAAATATCTAGCTTAAAGGAGCTAATAATTTTGAGCTTAATATGATTCATAAAAAATGTGACTTCAACTGTATATTCCTCTTTAAAGGATTTGTAGATTCCCATGTTTTACTGTTTATAGTTGTTGTTGTTAAAGAGAAGAAAATACAAAGCATACGCAAGGTCTGTAAGTCTCTTTCTGTATGAGAGATTGTGTAAGTTATATATGTATTTTCTTTTGGAAAAAAAAACAATTCTATATTGCTTCCTTTACATTAACAATGTGATTAATATTCTGTTTATTAAAGTTAGGTACAAAAATCTGAAAGTTTCATTACCGTGTAATGAGTCATTTTTTAAGTATTTTGTGGAATAAAATAATAAATATAACAAACACTATCTAGACAACAGCAACAACCAGCTATCTATATTGTATAAGACAATGAATAGGGCTTTTTATAATAAAACAAAGTGGTACTTCAGTATTTTAAGTTCAATTAATAAAACTATGTGTCAAGAAAGGGTAGCACGGTGGCTCAGTTGTCACCACTGTCGCCTCACAGCTAGAAGGTCGCTGGTTCGAGTCCTTGCTGGGCCAGTTGGCATATCTGTGTGGAGTTTGCAGTTTCTCCCCTTGTTCACGTGGGTATCCTCCGGGTGCTCCAGTTTCCCCCACAGTGTATGAGTGTGTGTGTGTGAATGTGAGTGTATAGATGTTTCCTAGTACTGGGTTGTGTTTTGGAAGGACACTAGCTGCTAAAACATATGCTGGAATAGTTGGCAGTTTATTCCGCTGTGACGACCCCTGATTATTAAGAGACTAAGCCGAAAGAAAATTAATGAATGAATGTGTCAAGAAAGTCTACCAATTCTTTTTTAAAATTTAAGTTGCAATATAATAATTACACATGCAGTATATGTTTTATGTATATTTGATTTTAACTGTTTTAATTAGTTTAGTTTTTCTACAGTTTTAACTGTTTAGTTAACATGACATAACTCAAAGAAATAAAAGCTCAACTTTTTTTGTACTGTGGATTATCTTCTAATCCCCTTTTTTAAGGAGGAAATGCACCTGCTTCAGTGTTACCTGTAGTTGTCAGGAGATCCCTATCACTGACTGACATCCACTGTAGAAAGTCCACCTGTCCCTGAGCAGGAGCCGCAGGTGTGTATCTGAGGAAGCTGGTGATGACGAACAAGCCTTGTGTATGACGTAATGTGCAGGTGAACCAGACGTCATACTCTTGTGCTCCTGCAACAGGCCAGCGCATTACTATTCCTCCAGTGCTGTATCTACGGATCTCACATTGTAGTGTGTCCTCACTTCCCTCCAAATAACGCCTCATATCCACTTTAGAGCCTGTGTAAAAAACAGCAAATGAACAGCAAATGAGTACTTTAAAAGGAAAGGATATAATCAATCTATGACATCATATGTGGGGTGGCACAGTGGCTCAGTGGTAAGCATTGTCGCCTCACAGCAAGAAGGTCACTGATTCAAGTCCCAGCTGGTTCAGTTAGCATTTCTGGGTTTGCATGTTCTCCCCATATTCACGTGGGTTTCCTCTGGGTGCGCCGGTTTCCCCCACAGTCCAAAGACATGCGGTACAGGTGTATTGGATGAACTAAAATTGGCTGTGGTGTATGAGTGTGTGTGTGTGTGAGAGAGAGAGAGAGAGAGTGTGTATGGGTGATTCCCAGTACTGGGTTGCAGCTAGAAGGGCATGCGCTGCGTAAAAAAAACATGCTGGAACAGTTGCCGGTTGATTCCGCTCTGGCGATCCCTTATAAATAAGGGACTAAGCCAAAGGAAAATGAATGAATGAATTCATATGACCTTTGCTCACCTGTGACAAGGAAGGTAATGGCGGGGTGTAAAGCACTGTCCCCATCTTTACCGAACTGAAGAACAGACTCTCTGTGGATATACTTGGTTTCAGTGTGTCCTTCTTCATTTATTTGAACCTTCTCGTCCACAAACTGGCAAGGAAGCCATTGAACATCACGAAGAGATTGGGATCCATTTACATCTGGTTGAAACATATCGGTAAATAGGCTAATGTTACAGAGAATATTAACAAGACCATCAACAACAGCACAAAGAAATTGTAAACCATCAAACAAACAAATGCACAGAACATAGAAAAGTTCCCAATTTAAATAACTTTGACATTGAAATGGATTTTAAAGTCTCCAAATAGTAAATTCCTTCACAGTTTTACTAAACATGTTATAATAATTATGTTTAATTCGATCACTGAATGTTTGTAACACAGCTTTTGGCATAACGCAGCATTACATGAGCAAATAACAACACATATGTCGCTGACTACAAAGGAATATCTTTACACAGCTCATTTATAAATACCTAAGCATACAAGAGCTAGAATAAATCCACCAATAGTCCAAAACATGTTGTGTATTCTCGTCCTCAGGACAATCACTCCTGTTTCCTAAAACCGCCATGCAAACCTAGTCCGCGTAGTTTCTCTTTCGTTTCATTAAAACTGTCATTCGACCAACCGGTTCTTTCGAATATGATTCTGAACAAATCTTTTACTAAACGAATTATTATAACGAGTTCACTTAATCTTATAAGTTTAATGAATGACTCGCTTATCTTGTAAATGAATAGTTTGAGTGAGAAATAAATGTCAACTGGCGTCAATAAATTAATTTGAAGATTTTTTTTTTCGAACCGATTCAAAAGATTCAAATCATCGAGGAAGATCAAATGAATCAAATACCTCTTTGTCCGTGTGAGGGCGACAGAGAAACGCGGGAAGCAGAACTCGAACTCTCTTTCTCTGCCCACACACGTTGACGCGGAAGTAAACACATGCTCTGCAGTTTAGCGCAAACGTGTTGAGAGCAACCATTCAAAACTAATATATATCTGATAATCCTCAACAAATATCTGAAAACCGCCGATATTGTCACAGTCTGGTGGATATGAGTTTCTGCAGCTGCTAACTTTTCTTTGGATTCACAAAAAATATGGATCAAGGTAACTTAATGATCTTATTTAAACTTACAAAATTACGTTATTTTATTATTTATGCCTTTTAGATTTTAATTCTAGCGTTTTATGCGTGAGGTTATCTGCGTTTAACAATATTTCATCATGTTTGTGTAGTTTTATTCTAACGTTAGTGAATGATGAAGTGATATGGTCATTTATGATAACAGAATGATGTTGGAAGTATCTTACACTGTTTTAAGGAGATCCCACATTAATGTACTATAATTTAGGTTTAGTAATTGCTATGGAAAAAAAGAAACGTCTTGTAAATTTCTCTGAATTTACTAGGCCCAATAAACTTGCAAGGGATGGGTTTCAGTAAAATGTTTTTTAAAAGGGTTATGTGGGCCTTTTATTAGATGTATTGAATTACATGTCTATTATTTGCTAATAATATTAGTGTTGTAGAATAGAAACATAATAAGCATTTATTTCTTTAAATGTTAGAGTTTACTTCATAAGTAATAAATATATCGACTTATCGCACAACACATGGACATGACCTCAATCATTTTTGGTGATGCAATGTATATCGCCCATACATAAAAAAAACAATTCTGACAACATTTTAGCTGATTGTGGAACATCTTAATCTTCTTTGGAGGTGTCAGTATGGTTAAAAACACTATAGTATTTACTATAAATTACTGTAGTAAATTTTCATGTGGGTATCTGACAACTAAAAGTAAGTCTGGTAGCAGATATCACAGCCTCTGTTACCTTTTAACTTGCACATTTATTATTAATATTATTTATTTATATGCGTTTTCTCATTCTGATTCCCATGCCTAATTATTAAGTTGTTGAAATGACTGTAATTAAATTAAATATTCTTAAGAATACAATATGATGTGTTTTTTGGAAGAGTCTACTTGCATTTTGATAATATTATATTGTCTGGCATTATGTAATGAGTGAGTCTTAAAATATCAATAATATTACTTATAACAAATATTTTGGTGCAATATATTGTATAACAAAAAATAAATATCCTGACAGGCTTACTGATAAGAAAATAAATGATCTGCTAATAAAGTTGATGTGCTACTGGCCATGGGGGATTTTATTGGTGCCTTCCACATTTTGCACACAGGATACACTAACACTGTTGGCACTGTGGGACCTTTTCACTCAAAGAATGAGCACATTAGAGTTGAAATTTGTAAATTATTTAGGAAAAGACAGATCTAGATGTATCCTCAATTTTCTTGTTTTTGGTTTCTTAACTACACTTAAGATTCTAAAATAAAATCAATTGTCCATTGTATTTTTTTGCATTTTTGTTTTAGTAATCAAGCTTAAAAATGAATATCAAGGTTAGTATTCACTGGCCTATATACTAGATATCTGCTTCAAATATAAAGAAGTTATCTTTGTTGGTCACATGACATCTCTATATCAGTGCATCCCTAAACAGTTTCTGATGATCTTTATTTACGGCTGTTTTGGGAACACATAAAAAATTGTGAAGATCATTTATCATGCCTTAAAGCAATATACCTGATACCAGTCTTCTGTTTTAGAGTCATGGCTGAGCTGTGAGAAGACGGCTGTGCTACAGGGAGGATTCCTACTGGCCAGTCAGATATGCCAACCTGAGCCACTCTCATCTTTAAGAAAAGAAGACTGGGATCGGATTGGACCTCCGATTGTTAACGCGGTCAAAGAGATATGTGAACATTCACTCAAAGACACCAAAGATCGACATCACTGGAAAAAGAAGATCCTCTGTATTGTGTGGAGCAAGATCTTAGACGTGAGGAACAGAAAGGACATTGATACGAGATGGAAAGAAGACCCATTATTTGACGTCCAGAACAGCCTTCCTGACATTAATCACCCTGTGTTGTTTGAGCTGATAAAATCCATGAGCTTTTCCAGCATCTATGTGGAGCTGCTGTTGTGCTTTCAACCATCTGAACGATGTGAAGAGCTCAAGTTGTTGGTTGATCATGTGACAAGCAGCAGCTCAGAGGCAGACGTAAAGCTTTTGCTGGAGGTGTGGTGGGAGCTACTGAAAGGGAAGAGAGGATGTGAAGATGCCTTGGATCAGCTCTTTACAGCTCAATGTTCACGTTCATTGTCCACGACTGAACCATCACCACAGGCATCTAAAAGATTTAAGCCTGACCCAGAATCCACATCCACATGTATGGTGAACATACTATTTGAGGGGCTGAGGAAAATAAAAGAGCATTTGACCTCCTCTGAATTGTGTTATGTTGCTCTCTCTAATTGTCTGGACACGCTGTATACCAGCTACCTTATAAGCAGTGTTACTGATCTCCCCATAGAAATGAAACTTCAGCAGATATCTCGTGCAGTGAATCTTAAAAAGGCGAATGGTGAAGTGATTGAGAACTTGGGCCTGATTGAGGCCATACGCGAGGCTCGGAGAGACCTTGCTGCTGCTCTCATTCCTGCCGAGACCAAGCCGTGTGGAATGACATTCATACAGGCTATGCAGTTCACACTTGAGGTTATATGCTCCTGGGAGGTGATGGGGCTTCTGAAGACACCCAGCAATGAGCCACATGCCACAGTGATGCGTCTGAAAGACAGCCTAGATAGAGTTCTGGCGTCTCTGGAGGAACCATCACATGCTAAAGACCTGGTTGGGAATGGACAGACCCTTGATAACTTGAGAGTAAGTTTGAAAGGCTTGTTGGGATCTTTATCATTCACAGTTCCTGAAAGTTCTGCAGAAGAAATAGCAAAAATGTGTGTGACCATCTTAGATCATCATCTTGAAGGATTTGAAGGCCTTCCTGGACTGTTTGCCTCCAAACTAAGTCAAGACTTCAATGAAGCAAACTGGATTCAGTGCTTGGAGAGAAATGCAAGTGTGTTTCAAACCAAAGACCATCTGATGACATTGATCTCCACACTTACACATAAATGTCAAAGTGATGCTGACGTTGATCACTGCAAAAGATTAAAGGATGTGATCGTAGACATATTTTCCCACTTGCCCTTGTCTGACCGAAATGCTACACTTTCAGAATTGCTTTCCATGTCCAGGAAAGGTCTTCACGGATTTCTCCCCTGTTCTATGACTAAAGGCTTCTCTGATGAGCTCAATCTGGCCTTCAACAGCATCATTCAGAGTGGTGCCAAAGGCAGCATTGATGCAGCCGTCACTGCTGTGGCACGAGTGGCTTTCCAGAACCCTGAAGCCACATTGCGGCGATGCTGCCACATGGCTGTTGTTAACCTTGGAGCTCAAAATCTGATAGCTGAGATTCTCCAGCAACTCCCAGGTCTCATTTCTTTACCTGGAGTTCACAACGACAGTCTTATGAGTAGATGCCTGCAGGACACTGTGTGGAGCAAGTTATCCTCACCTCAGGAGGAGAACCAGTTTCTGCAATTCTTAGCTGAGCTGATGAAGTGCAACATCTCTGGATGCACTGGAGAAAAGCTGAGCTTCCTTTCTCCAGAAGAAGTCTTGCAAGTATTTGTCCAACCATACCTTATAGCAACAACTCCAGGTTCAAGCAACTTGCAGATCTGTCTCAGACTTCTTCAGTGCACGCTGAGCCAGGAGACCAGCAGTGACACAACGCACTGGATAATGAGCTGCTCTCCATTCCCGTCTTTATTTTGTCTTGCTCAGCTCCTGAATGAGTGCAGTAGGTGCTGGGACCGGCCAGTAGAGGGTGAGACGCCCATGCCCATGGAGACCAAAGAGCTGCTGTTGTCTGTACTCCACACAATGGGAACAATCGTTGGAAAGGAAGTGGCTCGTGCACCTGATGTTTGGTCGAGAGCTCTCTTTTGGCTCTATAGTAAAGTGGAGGAACTGGACTGGACTGTGCGTTTTTACCTGAAAGATGTGTGGGGAGAACATTTCAAGTATGAAGTTCCAAACTCTCTGTTGGCAGTTTGTGATCTTCCGGAGCAGGATTGGTCTGGCCTGGACTTGCCGCAGTATGGACAAGGTACTGGACTTGTGGCCTGGTTGGAGTGCTGCGCTCTGTCAGAAAGTGTCCGCGAGGTAATGCTGGAATCTCTCTCCCTTAACCTGCTGAAACCGGATGATGTGAACATGTTCAGCAAGGGGCTGTTAGTCGCAGTGTGTCAGCTCCTCCCGTGGTGCACATCTGGGGAATGGGAAAGACTTTTAAAAGTGTTACAAGAACTTGTACATTCAAGCAAACTGTATGTGCCATACTCTTTAGAATATGTTGATTTCCTTCCGTTACTTGACCTACGTTCTTTTTCTGTTGAGTTGCGTCTTTCTGTGTTTCTTTTGCGAATCTTCCAGCTGCTTTGCAGTTCCAGCTGCTCGGATTGGCTGCCACCTCAAGGCTGGGTGTATACCGGACGGCTTTACGCCAATGCAATGAGGAGCATTATCAGCTCGGTCGCTGAGAAGATTTCCCTGCCGTCCACCACGGCATCCCCTAAAACCTCTGAATCTTGCAGTCAGGAAGTTCTGTTTGTCTTTACTCAGCTTTTCTGTCATGTGCTTCATGTGCAGGTGATGATACCTGGTCAGCCTGAGGCGCTGTTCCTATGTGCCCTGGAGATTCTGACCCAATATGAGTCTGTGCTCTCAGCATATCCCGACAGCTGCACTGCCATGCAGGGACTCAATACACGTCATTTCTTCACTACAATCGCAGATAATTTGCAGTGTGCAGACATGAAAGCTGTTCTACACCAGAAGATAGCTCAGTTATGATACTGCACCAATGTGTGTCAGTCACACTCTCGGTTTAAAATTGTTCTTTTGGTTTTCACAGAAGGAATTGAAATAAACAATTGTTTATGGCAGTTGTGTGGTTTAACACTTCATTTATCTATTTGCTAACACTCTACATTAAGCATAATTAGTTAACATTTAGTAGTTTAATGTTCGTTTATAATCAGGCCACTGTTAATTTGTGTTTGTTCATGATAAATCGACACTACACAACAGAAATGTAGGTAAATAGTAATATTGTTTATTAGCCAGTTTAAAATGATGATCTCACATTTTCATGAAAAAGAGTAAATTTGCTACAACCTTTTTATGTGTATAAAGAAAGACAATACAGTGAATGAAGACTTTTACAGCAAACAATTGAATAAAAAGTTTTTTTTTTAATTATACAATCACATATAAAAAATGTGGAATCATATCTATTAACAATTATGCAACTTTAAAGTTCAGTAGAATAATAATTAGGCTTTTATTATCAAACATATCCATCCAGAGTTTTCAAAAGGATGATATTACATTAATTACATTGCAAATACAGTAAAGATTTCATCCCTGGTGTGCAAGAAAACATGTCACTTCTTGGGAAACTGGTGCAAATGATTAAGGGATAGTTCATGCAGAGTAAAAAGTCTGTCGTCGTTCCCTTAGACCTCAACCTGAGTTTCTTTTTTCAGTTAAACACAAAGCACTTTTGGAAAATGATGGTAACCATTGACATCCATAGTATTTATTTTCATAACAAAAAAGTTGGTAGTTATGTTTGAGAAAGCAGGGAAACTACTATAACTCTTTTAATCGTTAATAAAAAACAATTTGTACCTCACAACACAGGAAGCACTGAATAGCTAATGCTGTCATTTTACACGAAGATGCCTAATGATTGGGAACGCATGGAAATCTTGTGAATTGGTACAGCGTGTCATTCAGCAAAATCATTTTGATAATATTCATCAGCTGCATCATCATCTGTGAACATAAAAGTCACATGATCATTTGTTCAAGATGGAGATTTACTCCTAAATGATCGTTCTTGGAGCGTGATGCAGCAGGCACTTTGAGAAGTACTGAGCAAGTTAAGTAACTTCAAATGTAGTTATTGATATGAGGATGATCTCTGCACTTTGCATTTATGAATTCCTTTCCAAACAGTCATTATTAATTATGGAGACACTAAAATGATACAGTAAATGCTCAGTTAATGGAGAGCAGTAGTTTATTAACCATTGTAAATAGACATAAACATCCATATCTGAAATCACACCTCTCAGAAACTCCCCATTTTCACATGTAGATCACCAGATCTTTGCGAAGGATGCAGCAGGAGGAGACGGCAGTAATGAAAGACAGATGTAGAAAAGGAGTGATGTGACATCAATTTCTGCGATGCTGTACTTTAAACCCCCAGGCAAGAGCTCATATATCTGCACAAAACAGACAGTGTAAACATGAAGCATTTGAGACTGGACCAAAGTATAGGCAGTGCTTTGATTTTGCCTTGTTTAGGTGTGTTTGATTAAAAAGGGAAAACATTTCAGGACTTAACTTGCCCACTCCTGGACTGGATATACAGTGTGCCAAATACTGCTGACCCACACTCTCACGTCATTTAATACATTTAGACACAGACATGCACAGAGCAGTCATCTCACTTATATTCAGTCACACATATGCTTCTGTTCTTTAAAGCTATCCCTTACCTTTTTGCTGATTTTCGTCCTAGAATGAGAGAAAATTTTAAGAAGATTAGACATTTTGAAGTAAATGAGTCAGTAGGTCCAGACAAAATCTTAATAAACAAGATTTATACGGAATGATTTTAGGAGTATCATAACTAAAAACTCAATTTATTACATGAAAAAATAATATAATGTTTACAATGCAAATCCAATTAGATAAAATTTATTTGGTAAACAAAGCAAGTCTCATATATCTACAGAAAATATTACTTTACAAACTGTATCATAAATAAATCATATGAACATTTTCATATTAATTAATAATATTACTTAAATTAATTGAAAAACTGAATAAATATAAATTTACACACATTTACACAAGTTAATAAACAGAACCAATGATGGGCTAAAAATCTGCGGAATTCTGCTCGCGCAGATTCCGTGTGGCCCGACTGATTAGTAAATAAATAAGGGATAATTCACCCAAAAATGTAATTATTTACTCACGCCTTACTTGTTTCAAGCTTGTTTAACATTCTTCTGTCGAACACAAAGATATTCTGAAGAAAGCTGAAAGCCTGTAACCACTGACTTCCAAAGTATTTGTATTTCTAAGGTTACAGACTTTCTATTTTCAAAATATCTTTTTAAATGTTCAACAGTAGAAAGAAAGTCAAACAGTTTTGGAACGCGCATCATGATTTTGCCAAGTACGATGTGATCCTGGAATATCATTTTTATTTGAAAATGTAATTATAGCTATTCCCTACCCCTAAACCCAACCATAACTGTAAATTATTCCCCAAATCAGAGGGGAATAATAGTTGAAGAACAATCATGTAGAAGTGCATAAACCTAACCGTAAGCCTAAACTTAACTTAAACTGTAAACGTATCGCCTAATTTTAATTGGCTGAATGGAATGTTGTTACAGTATCAACATAGATGTTAATCTATGTTGCAGATATCCATGTTAATCACATGGGCACCACATGGGCTCAGGACTACATGTCCTACTTGGTAAAATCAGGTCGACGGGTTTGGAACCACTTGTGGGTAAGCAAATAATGAGTACAATTTCATCTCTTTAAGATTACGTTGATAAAGAATGACATTTTATTGAAATTCTTTATTGATTGTCAAATTTTTCTCGATTGTTCAAAATGTTCAAGTTTTTTTTTTTTTTACTAGAAAAAATACATTTAAAAAGTATAAATGTAAGTTTCTCTATGCACTTTAATTAAAAGATTAAAAATTGGATTATTTTATTTATTTTAGTATAAATATTAATATATATTTTTAAATATATTATGTAAAAAACTTAGGTTATATCTGGTTATATTTTTCTTTATTTTGGTTTGTATGTTTGTTCATAATAAACAAGGTTGCAAATGAGTGCATCAAACTAGTTTTGGTAAAAAAATAAAATTAAACCAAAAAATTGAAGAAAATTTTCTAAAACTTAAATTGATTATTTTCTAAAACATAAAATTTGTAATCAACAAATTTCTTACCTGCAAAAATACGTGGAATATAATGCATTATTAACAGCATGGAAATTATAAACCCAAAGACTGCGAAATACCACATGGTAGAGTCAGTTTCTGTAATCAAAAAAAAAAAAAAACAGAGTATTTAATAGTGCTGTAAATATGATATAATGATAATTACAACCCCAAATCAGCAAAAGTTGGTACAGTATGGAAAACACAAATAAACAACGAACGTAGTTATTTCCTAAATGACTTTGACTCGTATTTGATAGCAGAGAAAAAACACAACATGAACACAAACTGTGTTTTGTCTGTTCAACTTCATTTCATTTTTAAATAAACTTCCTTTTCTGTCATTTAGAGCTGCAACACATTCCAGAAAAAGTTGTGACAGGAGCAATTTAGGACTGGTAATCAAGTAAATTGGTTAAATAATGATGTGATTTGAAACAAATGATGTCAAGAGGTGATTGTAATTATGATTCGGTACAAAAGCAGCATCCAAGAAAGGTCTAGTCCTTTAAGAGCTGAGATGGGCTGAGTATCGCCAGTTTGCCAACAAATACGTGAAAAAACTTTCAACAGTGCATAACATAATTAACAGAGTCAAGAAATCTCGATGAATTTCCGTGCATAAAGGACAAGGGCACAAGTTTAAGCTAAACTACCGTAATCTCTGATCAACCAGGTGGCACTGCATCAAAAATCGTCATTCATCTATGAGCGATATCAACACATTGGCTCAGGACTACTTTGGTAAACTTTTGTCAATTACCACAATACATAGTTACATTCACAAATGCCAGTTAAAACTGTACTGTGCCAAAAGCAAGCCATATGTTAACAGTGTCCAGAAGCGTTTTCAATTTCTCTGGGCTCGGAGACATCTGGGATGGACCATCACACAGTGGAAACATGTACTGTGGTCAGATGAAACAGTACTTCAGGTCATTTTTGGGAGAAATGGACATTGTGTGCTTCGGAGCAAAGAAGAAAAAGATAATCCAGATTGTTACCAGCAACAAGTCAAAAATCCAGGGTCTGTCATGGTATGGGGTTGTGTCAGTGCCCTTGGCAAAGGCACTTCTGTCATGGCACCATTAATGCTGAAAAGTACATAGAGATTTTGAAGCACAATATGCTGCCTTCTTTTCCAGGGACGCTCATGCATATTTCCAGACGACAATGCGAATACACATTCTGCACATATTACAAAGTCCTGGCTGCAGAGGTAGGGGTGCTTGACTGGCCTGCCTGCAGTCCCGACCTGTCTCCAATAGAGACTGTGTGGCAAAATGCGACAATGAGGATACCGCACTGTTGCCCACCTAAAGGCTTGTTTGCAGGAAGAATGGGACAAAATTACACCTGAAACATTTCATCACTTGGTGCCTTCAGTCCTCAAACGCCTTTTAAGTGTTGTAAAAAAGGAATGGCAACACTACAAAATGGCAAATGATTTACTGTTCAAACTTTTTTTTTAATTTGTTGCAAGAAACAAATTTGGAATACGTGAATGTTTACAAAAATAAAAGTAAAAATCATGAGGAAAACATTAAATAACGTGGTGTTGTATCATCTGCAATGAAATACAAGTCAAAGTACATTTAGAAATCACTTTCTTTTTTACTTGCAATTTCCATACTGTCCCAACTTTTTCTGATTTGGGGTTGTGGATTTACCGCCTTGTGGTTGGTTTCATTGTTTAAGATAAGGAACATTTATGGACTTTAATGTTTGTGCAAATAATTCTGGAAATAAATTAGGTTCACCTGTAACTACAAGGAAAAAACTCTTGTTGATTGGGTTGAGCAAAGACTTATGGGAAACACTGCAGGTGTACTGATATCCAGAGTTCTCCAAGCCAGGCTCTAGATAGAGGAAGGCTGAGATCGAATATGTGCCATCTTGATTAAGCCGATGACTGGAGTGCCGAACATTCAGGAATGAAGGCATAGGGTTTTCTCTGTGTCTCTCAAGATACCACTCAATGTTTACATCCAGGGGATAGTAGCTTTCTGCATCACAGATCACCTTCTTGTCCTGACCAGCTGCCATAGCCAAGGTGTTGGGCACATTTAGAGACACACGAGGCTGTTCTGTAGAGTAACACACACACACACACACACACACACACACGCGCGCACACACGTGCACACGCGCACGCACACACACACGTACACACACACACACACACACACGTACACACAAACACGTACACACACACACGTACACACACACGTACACACACACGTACACACACACAGAAAATAAACTTTAGTTGTCTTGTACACACAGTAATCTCCAATCCAGTCTGTCTTACAATCTTCTACAGAAATAAGACATTTGGATGATCTTTTTGTCTGTGCTTCACCATGCACTACATCACTCTATGGAGAAAAAGATTTGAATATCTTTTCAGTTCCACAGAAGATTTGGAAATATATAAAGGTGAACAAATATTTTGTAATATTCGAAAATGCATTTTCTTCTAGGTGATTTAGGCCGTATTGAACGTAAAAGGCAGTGACTAACAGTAAATATAAACTTGATGTTAAAGCAGTGGTATCAAAAAAAAACAAAAACATTTTGTTAAACATGCAGTTGTTAATTTTTTTAAAAGTTTTTTTAAGTTAAATCTAAGACTTTAAGACATTTTTAGGATTATTATGAATGAAATTTTAGACTGATTAAGGGCTAGAGGCTAAGAAATTTTTCAAATGTCCCAGATCAAAATATATATATAAATCATAGTTTAATACATTAAGCAATACAATAATAAGTTAATAATGAAAAAGTCAAATATTTTAGATGTTTCATAGCAAAATATTATAAATATTGTGTAAAAACAAGCCAGCTTTACTTGTATCCATACGTTTTTTTTCCAACATAAACTTTCCTTAAAATAAAAAAATAAATAAAATGTTTTAATAAACATTAGTTTATAATAAACTAAATCTATGCACAACAATCTGTCCAGGTCGGTGTCCTCAGCAGTAAGTACATGAAAAACTTTTAAACAAATGTTATTGTGAGGAAAATAATTAACCCATCATGATAAATAGTTACATTTTGTAACTCTAAACTTTTTTAAATCTAACCTTTTTTTTTTTTAACTCTAACTTTTTTTTTCCTCTAAACTTTTTAAATAAATAGTTTAAAGTTTTATTGAGATGGATTGTTGGTGATTGTATGGGTGTTGGCCAGATTGTGTAGCTTTACATGAACAAAAGAAAATGAAGACCTCTTTAAAAAAAGATGTAAGACCTAAACACAATATATCAGTAAATCTAAAACTGTTTAAGGTCTAACATTTGGATTTTGAGATTTAAGACACTGTAAGAGTTAAGACACTGCAGAAACCCTGTTTTATCTCTAAATTTGTTTTTATTAGATTTTTTTTTTTATCTTTGACCTATTGCCAAGTTGAAATCTGTCCTCTCTTTTAGTGATGCCTTCATCTCTTCTCATCTTGATTACTGCAGTGCATTGCATCTGGACAAGAATCAGAACTCTTTCTCTGGTCTGCAGCTAACCGGCACAAAAAAGTGACCTTATTACACCTATACTGGTTACATTACACTGGTTACCAATCCATAACAGAATTTAGTATGAAATGTTGTTAAATGTTTTTAAATCTCTCCATAACCTGCCCTGAGTATATTTCTGACCCAATTTGTCTACGTCAACCCTTGAAATCTTTTCACTCAAAGGATCAACTATGTCTGAAGGTGTTAGAGCTTTTTCCATGGCAGCTCCTAGACTTTGAAACAATTTTCCACTTTCCATAACAACATCTGTTTAGCTTTTAATCATGTTGTAAATTGTATGTATATTTAGCTGTTTGTATGTTTTTTATTTATGTACAGCACTTTGGTATCTACTGTGGTCGTTTTAAAGAGCTGAATTAATGTTATGCCTGACCAGAGAATATTTATTTATTGTTTTCTTTTTAAATGAAATGTTTTCAAGTCTATTTTTTATTAAACACATTCATTTATTAATTATTATAAACAATTAATTCCACTGATTTTCATTGTATTAAAATAAAACTGTAATATGGCAATGCCAATTTTTTTTTCATCACTTAAATATTTGTATAGTAAAAACTGACATACTATGAAGTGTTCTATTTAGTAATAAAACTGATCTTACCACTTATGCTAAAAGGAATATTATGGCTGCCATTGAGAGGAGGAATCTTCACAGAGCAGACATACGTGCCCTCACTGCGTTTTCTGACAGGCTGAAGTTTGAGCGATGCATTTCCACCTTCAATGGCCTTCACAGTCACTCCACTGCCTTCAGTCTTTCCAGTGAGACTGGAGTAGCTAAAAAGCTTTATGTGCTTGCCGTGACGCTGCAGTTTCCACTCCACTGTTGCTTTAGGTAGTTTATGATCCACTGCAAACTGACAGTGCAGCTCTGGCTCCTTTGAGAATCCCACCTCAACAGAGGGAGTACGGGTCAAAATAACCATTGCAGCTGGAAACATAAGGATGACAAGATGACAATAAATGAATAAAGAAGTAAGTAAATCTCCCATTAAATACTTTGGCTGAAGTCATTTTTACATTTACAACAAAACAATAACTCTTTTTATTTTATTTTAGCCTTTTAATTGATGTTCTGTTATTAGAATATACAGTGCATCTGGAAAGTATTCATAGCGCTTCACTCTTTCCACATTTTTAATCGTTACAGCCTTATTCCAAAATGGATTAAATTCAATTACTTCCTCAAAATTCTACACACAATACCCCATGATGACAATGTGAAAAAAAAGATGTTTTGAAATTTATTCAAATTTATAAAAAAAAAAACAAAAACAAAAAAAAAACTGAAAAATCACATGTACATAAGTATTTACAGCCTTTGCTCAATACTTTGTTGATGCACCTTTGGCAGTAATTACAGCCTCAAGTCTTTTTAAATATGATGCCACAAGCTTGACACATCTGTCTTTGGGAATTTTTGCCCATTCCTCTTTGCATTACCTCTCAAGCTCTATCAGGTTGGATGGTAGGCAATGGTGTACAGCCATTTTCATATCTCTAGAGATGTTCTATAGGATTTAGGTCTGAGCTCTGGCTGGGCCACTCAAGGACATTCACCGAGTTGTTGTGAAGCCACTTCAATGATATTTTGGAATTGTGCTTTGGATCATTGTCCTGCTGGAAGATGAACTGTCGCCCCAGTCTGAGGTCAAGAGCACTCTGAAGCAGGCTTTCATTCAGGATGTGTCTGTACATGACTGCATTCATCTTTCCCTCTATCCTGACTAGTCTTCCTGTTCCTGCTACTGAAAAACATCCACACAGCATGATGCTGCTACCACCATGCTTCACAATGCCTGGTTTTCTCCAAACATAACGCCTGGCATTCAGTCCAAATAGTTATTTTAGTCTCATCAGACCAGAGAATTTTGTTTCTTATGGTCTGAGACTCCTTCAGATGCCATTTAGCAAATTCCTGCCAGAGAGTGGCTTCCGTCTGGCCACTTTACTATACAGGCCTAATTGGTGGATTGCTGCACAGATGCTTGTCCTTCGGTTAGGTTCTTCTCTCTCCACAGAAGAACACTGGAGCTCAGACAGAGTGACCATCGGGTTATTGATCACCTCCCTGACTAAGGCGCTTCTCAACTGATCACTCAGCTTAGATAGCCGGCCAGCTCTCGGAAGAGTCCTGGTGGCTCCAAACATCTTACACTTACGGATGACGAAGGCCACTGTGCTCATGGAAACTTTCAGAGCAGCACAATTTTTTCTTTAACTTTCCCCAGTCTTGTGCCTTGAGACAATCCTACCATTAGTGGGTATTGTGTGTAGAATTTTGAGAAATAAATCAATTTAATCCATTTTGGAATAAGGCTGTAGCATAAAAAAATTGGAAAAATGAAGATCTATAAATAATTTCAGGATGCACTGTATATATTTCTCATCAAGTAGTGCTTTCAGCCTTTTTTGATTTGTTAAAAAACAAATTGCAATTATAAAAATGCCTAATTATGATCAAGAATGTAATAATCTTTCAGTATTTACAGACTAAATCAAGAAAACCTACTTCCAAATAAAGAAAACAACCAATTAGATTTTTTTTTTGCATTTAAAATGTGAATTATGTCAATGATGTAGTGTAGTCGACGCATGCACTCAGGTGCTCGCAGTAACCAGAGTTCGATTCTCGCCTCGAGGTCCTATACTCTCTACAGTCCTATCCATTAAAGGTAAACCCAGGGAGAACATGCAAACTCCACAGAAGTGCCAACTGACCCAGCTGGGGCCCAAAAGAGGCCACTATGACACCCAAATCTATTTTGTATTTTGTAAAAAATATCAATATTATCAATTTTCTGTTCATTAAAACCAACTATACTTCTCATCGGAACAGCTTTTTATAAATGTTGATACTTATTCTAAAGTAAAAACTGTAAGAATGTACATATTTTTCTGTCTTTTTAAGGATAAATCAATAAAATTACTTGCATATCAATCATCGTTCATATTAACAACCAATTCATTATTTAGATTTAAAATGTAACTGATGCTCTATTTTTTTCAAGGGAAATATATTTTCATCATTTAGGTTTCTAAATAAAAACAATAAAAATGCAGTAACATTGTTAATATCTCATATACATTTAATTGTGTTGTTTTTCTCATGTTTTTAGGAAGAAAATACACCTGCTTCAGTGTTACCTGATGTTGTCAGGAGATCCCCATCACTGATTTTCATCCACTGTAGAAAGTCCAATTTTCCCTGAGCAGGAGTTGCAGGTGTGTGTCTGAGGAAGGTGGTGATGACGAACAAGCCTTGTGTATGACGTAATGTGCAGGTGAACCAGACGTCATACTCTTGTGCTCCTGCAACAGGCCAGCGCATTACTATTCCTCCAGTGCTGTATCTACGGATCTCACATTGTATCATGTTCTCACGTCCCTCTAAATAATGCCTCATATCCACTTCAGAGCCTAGGTGAAGCAAATGAACATGTATTGATTATTTAAAGAGGAAAGAGTGTAATAAGGTAACATTTTCAAATGACTTTTGCTCACCTGTGACGAGGAAGGTAATGGCGGGGTGTAAAGCACTGTCCCCATCTTTACCAAACTGAACTACAGCCTTTCTCTGGATATACTCAGTTTCTATGTGACCCTCTTTATTTACATGAACTTTCTCATCCATAAAACGGCAATGAGGCCAATGCACATCAGGAAGAGTCTGTGATCCACTTACACCTGGTTGAATCAGAAAATATAAATCCAATTTGCAATTTATTTTAAATGAAACCACAAACAACTAAAAATAGTAGTAAACAGACGATATCTAAACAACTTCATATAAACAGCTAGTCAAATGGTATTTCATGTATTTAAATTCATTTGTATCTAAATTTATAGATATTTAATTCTACAAATTTTATATTTATAATACATCGTATACATGCAGTAGACGAGAGCCCTACAGGAAGAAATTTAAAGGACTCAAAATAAGTCTACATCATTATAAGTCTAAATGATAAATACCTAAGCATAGTGCAAGAACAAGGCCTGCAAAAGTCCAAAACATAATCTTCCCCTATGGACAACCAGCCCACAAACGTCCGAAAACGGCCATGTAACTAAGCAGCATACTTTCTCTTTCGTTTCATGAAACTCTCGCGAGAAATAAACAAAGTAGAACCACCTTAACGTTTCCAAATGAAGGCGACAGAGCAGTGCGTCAAGCAGTTCAGCAATCTAGTTTAGCAACATTGCCTATACTATTGCCTTTTCTTTAGATACAAGTGCTTTAAAAAAAAAATACTAGTGCTTACTCATTAGACTAGTTCTTTTTAGTACTCATTGATTAGATAATACCTATTAAATAAATATTAGTACTTATGTATTAGATACTAGTAATTATTCATCATTAGATACTAGTACATATTTTAATTGTGACTAGTAACTATTCTGTTGTAACTAGTAATACATTTAACATTTTTCTATTGATTTTTATGGGGTCTGTCATTGAGATATCAACTATTCAGCTTTGACTTGCCATAATCTTAAGTTGTCTTCCCAATGAACTAAATCCATCTTTTCTTTCCTTGGGGTTGAATCGTACACCCTTAACCCTGTAAGACCTGACATCCCCATAACTGAGATGTTTATTAAACTATTAGGTAAAATAAATAAATAAATAATAATAATAAAAAATTACAAATACATTTTTTCCATGATATTTATTGTGTATCACATTTGATACATCAGGCATTTGTACAACTTTTTGCAAAAAAATATGATTATTTTAATTACAAACATTTTTTTCCCTAAACATTTTGACAAAAGAAAACATTTCAGGCAGTTTATCTCTCTTTTTTTTTTGTTACATTAAGCATTTTACAGTGTTTTATTATTTCACTTTGTGGTAGGCATACTAGTTTTAGTTCTTGTTCGAGCAAAGATGCACTTTAAATTTACACAGTACACAGAAGTAAGAAGTCAATGCTTGTGCATTGTTTTTTTTTTTTTTTATCTCTGCCAGGTTTCTCCATGTTGGAAAATGATCAGGATCATGCCTTCTAACATTAACTGCAGCTTGACCTTTTATGGGGTGCATGTTCAAGTACATGCCTAGGACTTTCTCAATCTCTTTGGCATTATAGACTTGCCATCTTTGAATACTGTTCAGTTTATTTGTTCTCCAGTGTCCTGTAGCATTTTATCAGTGGCAAACTATTTCAATACTGCACAAATACAGGGTCCAGAGTCCATAATAATAGATGGCAACTAATGTGCCTTAGAGCAGTTAGGGGAAGATGATCAGGAGGGATGGAGTCCTCAGGCCATGCATGATGATGATGGTCATTCAGACATGCTGTGAAGAGGAAGATTATCAAGAAAAATATAACACAATACAAACACAGGACACAGTCAGAAAGCAGTGGCTCTGAGTCCTATGTGCCTTCCTCAGCAGATGCAATTAACTCAACAAATGTACCATGATATTGTATTTTATCCATCTGTATTCTTTCCTTTTTGCATTGCCATTTGCTGACTGCTTTTCTGACCTGTCATGTTTATGTAGTTGGGACCTTTACTTCTGTGCTTGTCTAGACAACACTTTCTTCTTGATAATCTTCCTCGTCACTGCTGTCTGAAAGACCATCATCATGCATCGCCCGAGAAGTCCCGCTAACTTCTGTCACTTTAATTGCCATAGACTATTATGCTGATGACATTTTCAAGACACTTTGATTTTTCTATCATCTTCCTCTATTTTTTTGACATCTAAAAAACACATACATTGATCATATAGTTTATCTGTAATTATTTATTGTAAAAATACACAGAATGTATTTTAAATTGGTATTGCTATCACCTTATATTAATTTAATCATCCAAAAACAGTGTTTGCATTGCAGTAGGCATTATATTGATTACATTACAAAAATGTGACATGATTGTTCAGAAATAAAGCTCTGTATATGTTGTATCAAATTCAATATAGGATTTTCAACCTAATTTATTTGCAAAAAAAATAAATTAATTATTAAGTAAGTATGCTTTTTCAATCAAGAACCTTTATTTAATAAAATTAGTAACAATATAAATTTTATTCTTGCTATAACAACTTGAAATTAGCAAATAGTTTTTAGCCAAAAAGCATCCGAGTAATTCAATGAAAGTAGCTAGCCATTTTGAAAGGTTAAAACAAAGCCCTTCCACGGGCCTGCTGTGTCATGAAAATCCACAAGGGGGAGAATACAAGTATCGAATCATATACAACAGGTTATTAAACAAAGTATTCGCCAGGTTGATAATATATAGGTCTTAGATACTAGTGTATAAAATATGATACGTGCGGTTTTATAGGGTTAAAAATCATACTTTTTGTGTATGAAAAAAGGAAAGGTGTCTGGACGCAAACGTGATGCAGATGCAATCTGAGCGGCATGCAATGCTTTTTAATGGGCTCACCAAACCCACCGCTACCCCTCAAAGTGACGTCTCTAGCTCCATTGAGTTCCATTATTTAAAATTAATTCATTAAAATGAAAATAGTTCCAATCAGATGCATAACAAATCTTACAATAGGATATGCACATATTAGCATAAATCATGCAAGTAAAATAACAGAAAGAAAGAAGAAGAGTAAAAAATAAACAAAGAACAACAGAGGGTATACATAACAATTACCAAAGAGAAAAGGAGAGGAGTATATTTACAGTTCTGGTTGCCTACGAATTAAATTCATTTTTAATCAGCCTTAAAGTGGGAGATATCAGGCTTCCTCTTCAAACATTTACACTTCCCACAATAATATTAAAAGATTTAACATAAACAATAGATTCTTATCTATCTACATAAAATATGGCATCTCTTTTCTTTATATTTATTCTATGACCACTCATTATATTAAATAGACAATCAACATCAAACCAGAAATATTTAATATACATGCAACCAAAAAACAAATGCATAATAACAGTCTTAACATCCATTCCACAAAAACCCCAGATTCAGAAAGATCAACTTTTTATCTCTTGAGAAAAAGGTTGGTTGGATATACTTTATGTATAATTTTAAAACTTTATTTGTGACACAATATTTGTTGTTACAGGTCCAGATAAAATTCCAATTGATCTTTTTAAATTAGTTATTCCAAATGACTTATGTCTAAAAGTTGCAGGACAATGAATCAAACTTCTAAGAAATGTATTATTACATTTACTATCTTTGATATCAATACCATCTAATAAAATCGTTTTTAATTGTTAGTTTGTTTGTTTGGTTCACTGTAATCTGCAAAAGCCTCACCAGGCCTGCTGGTATTTCATCAATTGCAATACTATAATCACGTGGAGGCACTGGAAAATTGAACTTCTCTAAAAACTCAGCATCGGTTAGTAAATATCCTTCATCGTTATTGAGTGCATTGTGCCTGTCATTGCATCATTGAGATATGCAATCTCAGCTTGCATGATAAAGGCTGTGTCCAGATATTGGAAAAAAAGCGCAATTGGGATAATACAATACTTTGGTACAAAGAGCCGTGCATGCATAAGTGGCAGGATTTTTCATTTGCTCCTGAATCTGCTTATTAAAATGAGGCTACTGCTCAGCCCAGATCTATCATCTACTGATTATTCTATTTTGGGTTTACAGCTTTAAAGTCATTGTTTAAGAAAGACTACTTCTTTATATCAGTCAGTGCTAGCTATATATATATATATATATATATATATATATATATATATATATATGACTTACTAAAATAAGCCTAGCTTTTCTGTAAGCTTGGTTTATGAAACAGGCCCCTGGTTTGTCCAATTCAGTGTTTTTTATGAATTGAAGGATTTATTCTATATATATTTTTAGCATTTTTGCAATTTTCCTATAAGAATAAAGAGTGCAGTTAGCGGTTTTAGTCAATACTGCAAAAAATGTTAATGATTGTAAACCAGCTTCCAACTCCAAATGCACACACAATTTTGAAGGTAAAATAAACAAAGTAATAAGGCTGTGTAGCCTAGGCCTGTCCAAATCATTTTATTTAAAGTGAATAATCACAACGTAATCAAGTAAACATATTGATGATTGTGTACAACCAAGTTTCATTGTCAATCTAAGCCCACTGTAAATACAGAAATGTTGTATGTCCTTCTTTCCACAAATCTTTAAAGCAAATGGTTGTAGTAAGAAAGAAATATCATTCACATTATTAAACCTACAATGCTGTATGAGAGGGCCTGGGTGAATTCAGGACAGGCCACTTAGTGTCTCACTCACTTCCCACAGTTTTTTGGCCACAGCATCATCCTGAGCCTTAGGCTCCACTTTCTGCACAGCGCAGTTGGAGAAATACCTGCCACTCAGGGATTCAATGCCCTCCTGCACGGCACAGTACAGACTTGTTTGCGCACCGGCTTCTACATCCTTAAAAAACAGGGTTGTAATGGGTTTTATCAACCTCCTGGTCATTTTACTGAGATTGCGATTTAAATCGGAATTTACAGCACCTGGTAAAACAAAAGTATGAATATGGAAGATTAGCACTGCAGAATATGCTAACTAGTGTCTACATATGAAAACAATCACCCATTAATTAACAATGTTTTTAATTACTCATTCCAATCCCCTGAGACCTTCAGTCATCCTCAGAAAAAAAAAAAAATGAAGATATTTTAGATGAAAGCTGAGGGCTCTCTGATTCTCCAGACAGAAAAGTCAAGAATTTAAAAGATTTTTGAAATTAAAGGTCCTTTATGTTAAATTTGACTCATAAAAACCCTAAAAATACCATAATGTGTTGCAGATATTTAAGAAACATGATAAGTGAACATTCTTGTTTATCTGGAAAACAATTCTTAAGTCAGTTCTTCTGCTTTGAAGATGTGCGTTCAGTGCCGGAACGTCTGTCTGTTTTAGTACCTTCAATCCACCAATTGCAAGTTTTATTAATTCATTTTCTTTTCGTCTTAGACCCTTTATTAATCCGAGGTCACCACACCAGAATGAACCGCCAACTTATCCAGCATATCCAGCATTGTAACCCTGTCCTAAAAACACGCTACATGAAGAAATTTGCAATGATAATCAATTGGGTTGTTTGCACCAGACGAAACACAACAAATTTAAACACAGCCATTTAGAAGCACAGA